TTTCCCCTAAGATACAAAATAAAGAAAATGAAGAAAAATTAAATAGAGGACAGTTATTCAATACTAAATAAAAAAATCAGTAGATATGGATAAAAACGGTTAGCAGGGAGTTGAATATGTCTCCTCCCATCCCTCACGCTGCATAAGTAACTTCCAACAAACTTAACTTTTACTTTTATTAATATATTAATTAAATTATTTTATTTTTTTATGTTTTTAATATTATTATCTTTATATTTTAATTGTATATATAAATTGTTTTTTTATATTATGTTGTACCATTGAAACTTAAAAGTTTTTTTTATTTTATATTAGTTTAAAAGATATATTAACTCATTATGTTTTAGCCCCACTATATTACTTCAAATAACTACTCACCCCCCTTATTTCGCTATACCCCCCCCTTTTTGACCACCCCCATTTGAGGAAACCCCACCAATTATTGTGGCAACAACTACTGACAAAAAACCTAAATTCCATCCCCTGTGGGAAAGCACAAAAATAAAGTAACATCCTCACTAATTTCCTCTCCGTTACCCAAAATGCAGGTAGTGTTGTTATGATTTAGATGAAAGAGTTATGCAAAAATTGTGCCATCGTCTCTCAACTTATCCACCCCCCCCCGCTTACGATTATAATAAGAGTAAAATAGGTTTGTTCTTTGCGCCACCCACTTACTAAAGGGAAAATTTCAATTTTTAAGGAGGGGTAGACTCACTACAGAAGAATAAAACGAGGGGAAAAGACAACGATGTAGGGCCCCACGGAAAAGAAATTCAGAGGCCCCCAAATATACTAATATCAAAGCCCTGGACCGAGGTACTAGAATTTTATCCAATATAAAGAGGCAAAACTATGCACGATACCATAGTTTGAGCAAAAACATACCAAAAAACATATAAATATTGCTCCACAACACAACTTATTTTTTTGTCTCTCTTTTCCCTTAAACTGCCACACAATGTATTTAATCTCCAAATACCCACCAATAAAAAGGGAAAATCATCTCAGGGGTGGTTGGGTTAACAAAATACACACATACATGAATATAAGCATCCGGGTGGAAAATCAATATATTCTCTCATTCTTGGCCCCATCTATTTTCTCATCTTCCTGAAGTCTCATTTAACCCAACAGTCACCATACGCATCGAACCTGCATGCAAAAAGTTCGAGGGTATAAAAAATAATAACCTATCCCAGTTTGTCTCTAAAATTAGATTAATCCTAAAATTGTTATTTTTTTATTGTTTGTTGAGAAGGGGCCCACCTCCTCCTTACAAAATATCTCGTTTAATAAAGGTCAATATTTAATTTTTATATTTCAAAAGATTAATAATTTTAAAACCATTTGAAAAATTTTATTTATCCAGCACCCCACGAAATATGTGAAAAAACAGAAGAAGAAAGTATAGATGGGTGACCACAAACCTCCTACTTAATATTATTGTTATATCAATTCAATATTTATATTTAATTGGTTTTTTGAGGTTCCATATTTAGTAATATAATAAATATATATTTTTTTTCAATTAATAAGGAGATCTTACGTTTTGATTAACACCCTCTGTTTGCTGTTTTTTTGTACTCTATTATGTATTTTATTATTATTATATGTTGATAGTTTATTCCCCTTTTGTTTTATTAATTATGATTATAGGTTTGTTATTTTATTTTTTGTTTTATTATCCTATCTTTCACTTAAACGGAACAAGAAACTCTAAGTTTGAATTCTTACATAACAAAAATTTGACCATGTTTATATTATATTTGGTAATTCTAACTTTAACATCCAATCTAAACGAAAAAACACATATTAGGGGCACCAATAGTTTTTGAGAATTCTAAAAATATAATTCATAATTAAGTAACCAATCGCTAAATACTTCTCTTAGTATTTTGTTTTCAAAAATTTTATCCCCCCATAAAAAATTCTCTTCAGTAAATGTTTAAGCGCGCAAAGGACCTATTTATTTACGCTTAATATTACTCCCTTGTTTCTATAAAAAATAATTTTGTGTTAATTATTATTTTTCCAAGTATAGGAGACGGATCACCAATACGGAAAAAAAGAAAAAATATAATAAAACATAAAAAAGTTGGTGTCCCATTCCGGCTTGCCCCACATTTTTCCACCTATAAATATTATGATAATAGGAAGCAAAAAAAAATTTCATGGGTTCAACACGTTGGTGTAGAGAAAAGAAATAGGGCAAGTTCCATCATTAATTGACAATGCCATTAATATATTTATCCCCCTCAACTCCCCCAAAATTTTTAGAAAATTTTTTTTTTGGGTTTTTTTTATTTTTTCCTCTTCCAATATAGTGGAACGGGAGGATGACCAAAAGGGGTTCCCCACACTCCACCTTTCTCCCCCATACTTGACAAGGTACACATTATTATATGCTTCATTAGCATAATGTATTCAGAACAATTTCTTTTGTGGCAAACCCTTCGTAAAAAACCACAAAAAAAAATATCATAAAACACTATTGCTTACTCGTCCCCCCCTTATTTTTGCCGCGCAACTTGGCTTGGAAAAAAACTCTAAACAAACACAATATGATCAAACACAACCTTTTTCGCGGTTGTGTTTCCCGATTCGTTGTCACGAACAACATGAGCCGCGACCATTCATCGTTACTTCGCTCGGGAGGGGGGGGCAAATACTCCTGCATCTTCTCTACTTTTTTAATCTCATCCTTCCCTTCTTTCTTGGCTTTGCCTTATTCTTTTGCCTCCTGTAGTTAAAAGATATATATATATATATATATGTATAATTCACACTGAATATATTCTGTCTCATCTTGTAAAATGATGGGAGAAGAGAAGAGTACTTCATGTTCTATACCACATATGGTATGGGCTCCAACTAAATTTCAATTTTTAAGGAAGGGGTTAGACTCACGAGATACAGAGACAGAGAGCAACTACTTCAACTTGAACCGAGTACTAAGAAATGGCCAGAGAATGAGCAACTCAAACTAGTCCAACCACATTTTGTCTTTTAATGCTTAATCATATCTCCAGTTTCATACACATCTGTATAGCCTTTTTCTCATCTATATCCATTGTTATCCAAAAGTCGACTCACTGCGTCGGGTATAAATAATGCAAGATCCATGTAATAGAGGCCACTCTCACCGTGTAATAATTTTTATATTCAAAATTTAAATTTAAAACATTTAGTTAAAAGAGAAGGAATATCAATAATTTTGTTTCAATCAATATTAATAGTCAATTATTTATTAACACGTGAAATGTGTGCAATTTATAGTATAAAAAGTAGGTTTTTTTAATTTGTATACCTATTTCCACTTAAACGGAACAAGAATTAAGTTTGAATTCTTACATAAAAAAATTGAAATGTTAATTTTATTGGTAATTCTAACTTTAACATCCATACTGAAACATAAAATTTTGAGAATTTAATTTCATATAAATCCTAAAACTCCTAGAGTTCAAATATCAAATTCTCTTCAGTAAATAGTAGTGCAAAGGACATATTTACCTATTTATCCTTTTCTTAAAATGGCAATATTCATAGAACATAAATATGAAAAGAAAATATAAATATGGGCCATTGCAATTCACAAATATGTTGAAGCAATAGCAAGTGGGCCAATTATTTGAAATGCATTAAATATTATATTATTTTCCCAATAATGAAGAGAGATCCAATATTTTGACAAGGTACAACATTATTATATGTCTCTTAGCATATGTATTGAACAATTTTTTGTGCAACTAAAACCCAATCATAAACCAAATTGCTTCATGCCCATCCACAACAATATGCAACCTTGGGGGTTCGATTGTTGTCCACAACAATAGGGACCACGTACCCTAACTCCTGCACTTTCACTTATCTCCCTTCTTCTTTTGGCTTTGCCTTTTGCTTCTAACACTAACACAATCAGTTACTTTGGGGACAAGGAGAAAGTGTTAATAAGGAAACTATTAATCACATCTTCTTGGGAAAATATATATTACTAAGGTGTTGTAGAAATAGCCCAAAAATCTCTTAACCTCTGATTAACACTCAAACAAATGCATTTAGCGTTTATTCAATAAAATTAATTATTTTTGCGGTTGTTAGTTATTTTTTAACGTTTGAATAACTAATAGCTGTTTAAGTATTTTTTTATAAATTATTAAAAGTTAAACGTTACAAAAATTAATATTTTATAAAACATTACCTTAACCTTTAAAAGTTGGTTCAAACATTATATTACTGAACACTAACAAATAATGTTTAGCGTTTCAACCAGTTATTTGAAAAGCCGTTGTTGAACACAATATTACAGTAAGTTATTCATTAGACTTTAATATCACCGGAACTATAAAATGTAGATCTCGACTAGCTTAAATTGAAATAGTAGTAGAAGAATTTCAGTAAGTTATTTTTATCAATTTATTGGAAATTATATACTTGTTAGCTAGATTTATCAAATCACAATCTAGTGGAATTCGTTTCCCTTCACAGATTATTTTTTGTTCCCATAAAGAAAAAAAAAAAAGATTTTATTTCTAACTTTGTAATAACTTTCTAACTAACCAAAGAGGAGCTCACATGTCGTCCAGTTCCAAGTCCCAACACCTCCAAAATAGTCAACATATCTGACGCTTTAGAATCATTACCATTTCCACCATCATCGTTATCCCATCTAACAAGATGCAACGAGATGTATGTTACAAGGACCCACCTTCCCATGTATCCACGTGTCTATCATTAATAGATCGGTGGAACATATATCAAACCGTTGTTTTGTTATTCCATAACCCTGTGAATGTGATTCCACCGGCTCTCTTAAATGGGTTTTATTCGGATTGCCCAAACCGGTCAAAACCCGAATTGACCCGGTCAAGCATATTTTGCATAGGAATCCGCATTGCAACCAGTCATGTCCATCCACGTGTTTTAGTTTCATTGGTCCATCCTCTGGAATCCAATGACGCTTTTCTCTCGGGCCGATTATCCACGTTATAAAATCCACGACAGGTCGCTACCTTCTTTGCTCCATCCACAGCAGAAGGAAATGGCGCGAAAATCCCACATTTACTTGGGACTTTCTCCTGCATTTCGCGTCGCTTCTCTTCTCTTGCTCCTCTTTGTCAGTCCAATCTCTTGCGGCGCACACGATTACCACGACGCTCTCCGCAAGAGCATTCTCTTCTTCGAAGGCCAGCGGTCCGGCAAGCTTCCTCCAGATCAACGGGTTAAATGGCGCCGCGATTCAGCCTTGCACGACGGAGCCTCCGTTGGGGTAGTCTTCACTCAAAATTCTCAAACTCATTTTTAACATTATAAAAATTTGTTGTTTTCTTGATAATGACAATGGCATTGCAGTTTTCATGTCTTTATTATTATTATTATTGTTGTTGTTGCAGAGGGATTTAACGGGAGGATATTACGACGCCGGAGACAACATTAAGTTCGGGTTTCCAATGGCATTTACTACGACTCTACTTTCATGGAGCATTATTGACTTCGGGAGGAACATGGGGCCTGAGCTGAAGAACGCCATTAAGGCTGTGAAATGGGCTACTGATTATCTGTTAAAAGTAACGGCAGTACCCGGCGTTGTTTATGTTCAGGTAGGTGACCCCTACTCTGATCACAACTGCTGGGAAAGGCCGGAAGACATGGATACGCTCCGAACAGCGTATAAGATCGACGTGTCCCACCCAGGGTCCGACGTGGCTGGCGAAACAGCCGCTGCATTGGCCGCTGCTTCCATTGTGTTTCGATCACGTGACCCCGCGTACTCGAGATTACTTCTCGATCGAGCCGTTAAGGTACGTCGCTGTCACACTGAATGGTTGCCCTTTTTGGTTCCCTGTCCTTCCTGGTAGAGATGGATAAATAAGTTTTATAAATTTATGATATGATATAGTACATTTTCATCTGTGCAAATCACGGTTAAAAATGGAACGTTTGTGCATTTTACCACGGTTCTTTTGATTTAACTTTAAGGAATTGAATTTCTTTTCTGTCAACGTCATGTTCAATTTTCCCCCTTGAGGCCTCACGTCTGTTTGTTCTGAACTTAGAACATTAAAGTGAAGTTAGACGACAAAGAATTTAAGAAAATTAATGCGAAGAAGAATTTGTCTTAAATTGGGGTGTGGGGCTACGGGGGTAGTGTATACTAAATCATGATAATGATAATTAGTGAGCAAGAATTCCAAAACAGCATTACTTGTACTGGGTGTACCTGGTAGAGTTGGTGGCTGTGTCTCCCCTTACTTTTCTATATTATACAATAATTATTTATTGACTAGATATACCTATGGAAATTTTCTTGAATTTATTTAGAGTCAAAAAAAATTTTGGCTGAACCAAAATGGCAAAATTTGTACCTATGAAAACGGTCGTTTATAAATTATAATTATGTGGTGGTAGTGTAGTTCAGCTGTAGTAACGGTAATTATGTACTAGACATTAGATACAATCATGAAATAAAATATCGCGAGAAATTGACCGTTGGTGTGTAAAACGGTAACATTACAGGTGTTCGAGTTCGCTGATACACACCGGGGTGCGTACAGCGGTAGTCTACATCGAGCGGTTTGCCCTTTTTACTGCGACGTTAACGGTTACCAGGTAAGGACGCCGCTAAATCTCAGCCATTGGATGAGCATATTTTATATTATAATACCAAGAAGGAAGGAAAACTGAGTAGTTTTTAAATTTGTTTGGAAAAATAGGATGAATTGCTTTGGGGAGCAGCATGGCTACACAAGGCTTCACGCAGGCGCCAATACAGAGAGTATATAGTGAAAAACGAGGTGGTTCTGCATGCTGGAGATACCATTAATGAGTTTGGTTGGGATAACAAGCATGCTGGCATTAACATTCTCATTTCCAAGGTAAATAAAATATTTTATTTTATTTTAATTTAATTTACTACATGTCTCGTCTTAGTAGTATAGTTGTTGTTCCTCTTGTCATTTGGTTTTTGTAAGCTTATATGTTGTGGGGACTAGTGTTCTTTCTTTTGTTAATTATCGTGAAATTTGTAAAGTAGGAAAATGTATGTGTGTGTGTCACGTGGTGAGGAATAAGTAGAGAACATGATTAATTTTTAGATTTTAGTTAAAGCCTAGATTAATGGGAAATGGGTTTGCGAAAAACTTGAAATTTTTGCTTGATGATTGCACATGATTAGCTTAGAATTTGGCTTTATTTATAATCATGTGAATGAAACCTAGCTAGCTAATCTGGACATTCCTTATAATTGAAATTTAAAAAAAAATAATAAAATAAAATAAATTCGGGTCTCCGTAGAGTTGTATTGTCTCTTCAATTCAGAACCAAGTCGCCAACCCCAAAAAAAAAAAAAAAAAAAAAAAAAAAATGTATGGTTTCTCAATTCAGAAACCAAGTCGCCAACCCCAAAAAAAAAAAAAAAAAAAACAAAAAAAAAAAAAAAAAAAAAAAAAAAAAAAAAGTCTACACTTCCTTCATTTTCAGATCTGACATATTGATAAAACTGGCTGCATGTCATGTGCTTAAAGGCTGAGGCTTGTGTTCTTTCTTCCTATCCCATAACTTCTGCCACTCTCGTCCTTTCCATGTTTAACTTTTCCTCAAAGCGACTCTGACTTCTCGATATCTGCTTTTTCAGTTTTCACTTCTGGCTCAAAATCCTTATTTTACACAAATTTATTATTTAAGAGCAAATATTCATTGAAACTAACACATCAGACAAACCTAATAATGCTTTTTATATTGATCCTTTTAACTTACTTGTTATTTACAGGAAGTGTTGATGGGAAAAGCAAACTACTTCGAGTCTTTCAGGCAAAATGCAGATGGCTTCATTTGTTCTTTACTGCCTGGAATTTCTCATCCTCAAGTTCAATATTCTCCGGGTATTTATATTTATATCAACTAATTAATCATTTTTAATAAATAAAGAAATCAATTTGACAGCTAAATCACAAGACTGATAATCCGTTAGCTTTCCAGAGAAAAAGCATATCATTATTGTAGAGAAGCACGTGACGAGCTGGTTTTTGTCAACTATGTTACAGTCGTGGAATTATTGATTGTGCTTCTTTTAAAAACAAAAAAAAAGAAAAAGAAATGTGCTTTCAGCCATTTTTGATAGTTAGATTTGATAAAACAGGTGTGCTAGTGTTTTCCATTAATAATATAACCTTACTTATCGTTGAAGGTGGGCTGATCTTCAAGGCTGGAGGGAGTAACATGCAACATGTTACGTCATTATCTTTCCTGCTTTTGGCTTATTCTAATTATCTAAGCCATGCCAATAAGGTCGTGCCATGTGGAGAGATCACTGCCTCTCCTGCCCTTCTCAAGCAATTGGCTAAACGTCAGGTAACGATAATATTTCCCATTTCCTTTTTCTTCACGTGACTGGGGCTGGGAGGGGATTCGATTTGGAATGATTGGAATATTAAAAATGTTTTTTTTTTTTTTTTTAATTTTTTTTTTTTTTTTTTGCGGGTCCTACCAGGTGGACTACATTCTTGGAGATAATCCACTTAGAATGTCGTACATGGTAGGGTATGGTGAACGTTACCCACAGCGGATCCACCACAGAGCCAGCTCTTTACCATCGGTTCAGGCCCACCCGGCCCGTATAGGATGCAAAGCAGGGTCTCGATATTTCTTAAGCCCAAATCCCAACCCAAACGTGCTTGTTGGAGCGGTAGTGGGTGGGCCCAATGTGTCGGATGCATTTCCAGATTCAAGACCGTATTTTCAAGAGTCTGAGCCCACAACTTACATCAATGCTCCTTTGGTGGGCCTACTTGCTTTCTTTTCAGCCCACTCCTAATGTAGTTCTGTTTTCAAGAATGTAATATCAAAATATATAATCGTAATATATAATGTAAAGAGGGAATTTTAGTGGTGTGCAAAATGGTCACCCTGCTACTACTACTATTAGTGCTGCCTATTTCCTGTTATTGTCAAAAGATTCGAATTGTTGGTAATGAAGAAAAGAAAGTTCCTTTTTTATCCCAATATTTTCGGCTTTTTATTGTGAATTGCAATAATTGAATGGTCTACCTGTATGATACCTCAATTGAATGGCTGATTGCAAAGGAAAATATCAAAGTAATCGGGCCTCATTGGGCCTCATGTGACATTTATTTTTTTTACTTTTAGATAATGGGCCGCAGCCCTTGAATTAGCAAGGTAATGGTGGATTAGAGATGCTAAAATTTAGCTGTTTATGCCTTTTTCAATGCCTACACCTAATAATAATATATTAGTACATCCATATATCCATACGCCAACTCATATAAACAATATCTTTTTACTAAAAATAATAAATTGTATATAGTTTTTCTTTGATGACAATTAGTTATTGGTTTGGTATATAATTGAACCGTACGGTTAATGTATGCAATACTATCCTCGTAAAATAATTTATTACAATGTATTTTTGAAATCTCAAACTGTATAAACTTCTTATCAACAAATTTCTTGAGTTATTTTTAATTAGATAACATCGTTGTCTCTAAACAAAACGGGAGAATCTTCCCTTCTCCAAAAAAAATATAATAGAGAACAACAAATAACAAAGCTTTACAAGTACATGCAATATTCGTTGTTTCACATAAAGATGGAAAGTTCATGTTTTTGAATAAAAGGTAAATTAAAATCTTCCAATGGTTGATAATAACAGGGATAAATTTGATAGCTGGAAGTAATTTTAACGACTCATAGGTTTGAAAAAAAAAAAAAAAAAAAAAAAAAAAAAAAAAAAAAAAAAAAAAAAAAAAGAAGCTGTCTTCTATTTTCAGAAAATAAAATACTAAAACCATCAAATTATAACAAACAGCCCGTAAGGTTTTTTCAGAGCGTACATGGTGGCTTCATGCATGCTTATGTATTAAGTTGTACTTCCTTACACTTCTTCTATATATATATAAAAAAAAATTGTACTATTTCATCAACCTATCTTAATTGCATTGATTTTTCTATCAATCCTATAATCTTATGTCCATGCACCCACCAAATGAAGGCTCTAAAGAAAACCAATCAAACTCATCGTCTCCGACCACCGGTGATCCGGTGAATCCTCAGTATCCCCTCCATCAAAGCCACCAAGGACGTGAAGGACCTTGGTCCTCAGGCCTCTTCGACTGCCGTTCCGATGTCAAAAATTGTACGCTAATTAATTAGCTTCTGGACATTCTTTTATCAGTTTATGCATTATATAGCAAGTTAACATATTTTGCTTGAATGAGCATTTCAGGTTGCATAACATGTTGGTGCCCCTGCATCACTTTTGGACAGATCGCTGAAATTGTAGACAAAGGAACAATAGGTAATTATTATATTAGTTAAGCATATATTAATTAGATAATTAGTTATACTACATGAGATAATTACATTTTGTGAACTGTTTCAGGTTGTAAAACGAGTGGAGCAATCTACTGCGTTGTTTCCTGCCTTATTGGGTCTGTTCATTCTTGTATCTATCGAACGAAACTAAGGCATCAGTTTATGTTAGAAGAGAAGCCTTGTAATGATTGTTTGGTACATTATTTTTGCGAGAGTTGTGCCCTTTGTCAAGAATACAGAGAGCTCCAAAGCCGTGGATTTGATATGTCTATTGGTCAGTATTTTTCATTTTTAACTTCAACTACTGTGGGAGAAACAGTAGATGATAGAACTTCATATATTAGCTTAATAATTAATTATTTCTTTATTTTAATTAGGAAGAAATTACTATTAAAAAGAAGAGAAATTCTAGAGTTAATTTACATTTTCCAAGATTAAATTATTTTTTCTTTTTGGTTATTCCTTTTTGAAAATGGATAGGATGGCATGAAAATGTGCAGAGACAAAATCGGAGAGAGGCAATGGCAGCACATATTCCACCGGCGTTTGAAGGAGGGATGAACCGATAAAATTAATCATGTGGTTAAGAAGCCATCAGGACCATGTTTGTTTGATGGAGTGGTGAATCCTTATCACGATTACTATCACATTCAAAGTTGTTATTGTTCTTTATTATTATTATTATTTTAATTTGTTTGCTCATAGTTAATTGGTCTTTCGTTAACTTTTGAATAAATGTGATATCTATACGTGTGTCACGTAATAAATAAAACCATATTGGAAAATTTTCCAAATATTCTTAAATAATTGACAAGTAACATTTTTAGTGTAAGTGGTATTATTGCCTGTAAAATCTCAAAATAATGGCTTAGACTTTATGTTGATTTTAAAACAAATTGAATTTCTCATCATTTATTTACTGAATTTAATTTCTTTAGATATATTATCTCTATATAATAATTGTCACATTTGAAATTTCACATCCCTTGAAAAAACTATTAAATTTATCTAAGTTACGATAAATTATTGAATAAATTGAATATATTACCCTTAATTTTAATACTAATTCTCTAAAAAAACCATTAAACTGGAGTAATAATTATTAGTCATATATAAAGTGTAAATATGAAAAAATAGGTTTATTACTCCTTAAAACTACAAATGTGATAAATATTTTGAAACAAACTATTTTCTCAAATGTGACAAGTATTATGGAACGGATGTAGTAATTTATTATTAATAATAAAAGAGAATTAATACTCTATTTTGTTAAGTTTTGCGGTTTTTAAATTTTTTTATAAGAATTAAAAAAATGATTGAATCACATTAAAAATTACCCTTTACTTACTTAATTCTCATTTAATTGAAATAAAAATTAGTATAGATTTTTATGTAGACAATTATTACTTTGATTTTCTAAAAATGTCAATTAAATTGAAACAAATAAAAAATTATCAAATTTTAATGGAGAGGGGAGTAACATGTTAAGTAACCATTCATATATTCTTTAATGATAATGAATAAATTAATTATTTTATAGATTTTAATGTTATAGGCAATTTTTTAAGTTAATGTAAAAATAAATTGAATTTATAATTGTTTATTTACTGAATTAAATTATATTAAATATAATTGATTTATTATAATATTAGATCATTAATAACATTTTAAATGATAATTTTTATAATTTGAATGATATAAATAAATTACTTATTAATTAATGAATTTTTAATGATATGAATAGTTATTTTTATATTAATTTTAAAGTAAATCAAATTGATAAAGTTTACTCATAAGTTTTCATTGTACTTTTTTTTTTCTTCTATCTCTATAAATGCCATCATTTGTAACCTAACACACTTCAACATCTACTTATTTATCTTATACTATATATGGGATTATTAGTTCTTATACACTAAAGTTAGATATTAGTTATTAAAATTAAATATGGAGAAGCAATTGTTGAAAGTACTTTAGTTGCATATGAATCTAGTCCTTAGTTGATTTTTTTTTTTTTTTTTTTTTTTTTTTTTAAATATGGAGAAGCAATGGTTGAAAGTACTTTTAGTTGCATATGAATCTGTCCTTAGTTGATTTTTTTTTTTTTTTTTTTTTTTTGAGAAAGGAAATGTTGAAAATTCCTTAGTCACAACCCTAAATTAATCATAAGTTGTTAGTAGTAACAATAATAAATTTGTGGAATAATTATGTCAAATGGACATGTTTTTTTTTTTTTTTTTTTTTTTTTTGAGAAAGAAAGTGAAAATCCTTAGCACACCCTAAATTAATCATAATTGTTAGTAGTAACAATAATAAATTTGTGGAATAATTATGTCAATGACATGAAGTTTTTGATTTTCACTATTTTAAGTATTTAAATGGAAAAGATTTATAATCCCGTCTCTAAAAAATTTAGAAATTACAATCAAGTGCACAATGCTAATGCCACTCACCCGTCAGTTGGTGCAAATAATAAATTCATATTACCAACACCGACAAACAGTAATGGGTTTTTCAATTTTGGGTTGGGCTTCCCCCGCCCAATTACTAATGGGTTGGACTTCAGTTATTACTTCAGCCCAATAAAAACTAAACCAAAGCCGTGGATTTAATTTTAATACTTAATAGTGAGGAGGAAAGATACATATATTTACAAATCAACTCCAATCACCTATTCCATCTCTTGAGATGAGACTCTAAACCTCAATTGCTATTAAAATTGTTGATCTAACAGTGACCGATTGATTTAAATAGAAATTACTCAAGTTTCTTAAACAAAAAGTCGAGTTTACGTGTGTGTGTGAGTATATATATATATATATAAGTTTTAATTTCCAATTCAATAGTAATTAAAACTCAAGATTGGATTTTTTTATTTATTTATGAATTCCCTTCAGATAATTGTTTATGTCACAACAGTTGTAATTGTTCAAGTTATAAAATAGGTAGTTGGCCTGATTTCAAATAATATAATTTCCTTCCTTGACTTACATTAACGGGTCGCTTTTAGATTTAGATGGCCTGACACGTGCATTTCCCATTTTTATATTTTCATAAACAGTCATAATAGGCAAGAATTTTCCTGTAACCTGCACTCAGGCCTTATTTTGCCCGGTATCATCCCGTGGTTGGTACGCCCGTTGTATTACTATAGGAGAATTATGTACTTAGTCATAAGTTCGAATTTCAATTTTTAAAAATTAATTAAATAATGTTCTTTTACTTATATTATTATTATTATTATTGTTATTCAGTTATACAGTCTTTCCATTAAGATTTTGTTATTTTCCGGTTATTCAACTAGGAAAGTCAATATAATACTAAATTTTTATTTTACTAACCTATTTATAAATACTAAATATTAATATAGAAAATATTAATTATTATACTGAATGTATATCCATTCATCACGTACGTGTGTTTATGTACACACACTTGGTCAATAGTTGATTTTATTTTAAAAATATCACTCTTTATTATTACTTTTTTTTTTTCTGATTCACTCTTTATTATTATTATTTTATCTATTGCCTTTTTTATGCCAACCACTTATTTCCATGTATTGGGACTTATTAAGTTAATGAAATAAAAATCTTTTTCCGTACAGATTAAGTCATGCCGGCTTTCTTCTCTAAAAAACAAAAAAAAAAAAAAAAAAGATGAAATAAAGAGAGTGGCTGGTGTTTTCCGTAACAGATTAAGTGCTGCCGGCTTTCTTCTCTAAAAAACAAAAAAAAAAAAAAAATATCATGCCGGCTGCTTTTGGTTACGACGTAAACTTCGCAGCATGTACTTGTGATAGCGCGTTTGAGACCGAGCGAAGGAAGAGCGAGAGTGTCGATTTGCCTTAATATTGCTCTGCGCCTGGTCGGGTCATTGGCATAGAAAAAAAAAAAAAAAAAAATATCATGCCGGCTGCTTGGTTACGACTAAACTTCGCACATGTACTTGTATAGCCCTTTAGACCACAAAACAATTCATTGCTTATATTTCTGCTGCCTTTCTTCATTGCATAGAATTTTCGATCCATCACCAATATCAATTAGTAAGCAGCATGTCCATAAACCCACCAAATCAGGACTCCTACGACAAGGTACGGGCCACCGGTGTTCCGGTGAATCCTCAACCTCCCCTCCATCAACACCACCATGCACTTGAAGGAGGCTGGTCCTCAGGCCTTTGTGGTTGCTGCTCCGACGTCAAAAATTGTAAGTGACCTTTGAATCCTTTTTTAAAATCCATGGAACGTGTACGAGACGCGCTAGATTTTTATGCATGATGGACGATGATATTTTGGTTGTGGATATTCATATTGCAGGCTGTATAACATTCTGGTGCCCCTGCATCACTTTCGGACAGATTGCTGAAATTGTAGACAAGGGAGCAACATGTAATTAATTAATTGAGCATGATTAATTTGATAATTAATTATAACTGTATGTGATTATTAATTCTTGTTTAATTGTTCTTGATCAGCCTGTGCAACTAGTGGAGCTCTCTATGGGCTACTTGCATGTTTTACTGGTTGTGCCTGCATTTATTCTTGCTTCTACAGATCTAAACTAAGAAAGCAATATATGCTACAAGAGAGGCCTTGTAATGATTGTCTGGTTCATTGTTGCTGCGAGACTTGTGCCCTTTGTCAAGAATACAGAGAGCTCCAAAGCCGCGGATTCGACATGTCTATCGGTGAGTTTTACATTATATAACTGTTAATTCAATCATGGATATATATTCTTTTTTCCTTTTCATTCATATTTTCATAATTTTTTACCTGTAATCTTGGATAGGGTGGCATGAAAATGCACAGAGAATGGCTGCAACTCCGGCTACGGCACCGGTGTTCGACGGAGTCATGAATCGATAGAATTGATTATCTACTTCCATTCGTGGTTAATCATATGTTAATTATAGTGTGAATAGTATAACTTAAGGCTCAAAATCATGTTTGTCATGGGAATCCTTATCACGATTGTGAATTTGTGATCATTTTCAACGTCGTCACTGTTTTTTAATTTGTCTTTTTTTTTTTTTTTTGCTCATATAGTCAAGTCGTTGTTTATTAAGTTTTGTTTTCATGAGTTTTATCTTCTATATATCAATAATGAGTTTGATGAAATTCAAAAAATAACTACAAGGGAGAGTGAAATTTCAAATGTGAATAGAAAAAAATAGTATAAAAAAAATAAAATGACCTATTAATACATAAGTTAAATTATGGGAAAATTATTATTTAGTCCCTGAGGTTTTACATAATTATTTAGGTAGTCCTCGACATTTATATATATATATATATATATAACATCTCTGAGGTTTGCCATCGTCATATTAATTGGTCAGTATTGTGTAGTCCCTGGAGATTGTGTACTCACACACTTTTTCTCTATGCATAAGGCTACAACTAGAACACGATCGCTACTAACCACATTACTGTGCCGCTATGTCCTTAAATAATAAATTGGAGAGTCTTTCTCACATCTTCTTAGTCAAAGTCATGTATACTTAATTGGTCCTCCCGTTCAAACAAAAAAATATACTCTCTTTCCGATTAATTGAGAAAACAGACGAAATTTATTCCAATATCTCGATGAAAAATCAATATACACTGTATTGCACATAATTGTACCACTCGCTCTCCTCTCTATTGCCTTCTTCTAACTCATACTAAATATCTTCTAACTCCCGATTTAGCATCATATGCCTGGCAGCACGACTCATTTTATCGCACACTTCATCTGGAACATTCTATCTCTACAAAATTTGCGCTGAATATTTATAACGTCCATGAGATTACTTCGTTATTTGGCGTCGAACAATATATATATATATATATATATCACCTCATATATATAATCGAGAAGAACTAACCACTTATCAAAAGACGAATAATCCTTGAAAAATAATTATTTCGCTCCCGAGAGATGCTTTCCTTATACACCACTACTTTTTATTATAATACCAGCCGCGCTGATAAATATTTCTACTTATTTACACTAATGTTCATTACATAATCACTTCACACACACTCCCATTTAACTACTTCAACTCAATCTAATTATTAAGTAGTCCCCGACATTTATACAAATATTTATAACGTCCATGAGATTTACTTCCGTCATATTAATTGGTCATTCCATAAAAAAAATACACTTGTTCCGTTAATTTTGAGCGAAAAAGACGAAATTATCCTTTATAAGTTTTTATTGACATTATTATTAATCTATTTGCTCTAAAATACCTCAAACTTACATTTTCACCATCTCCCTCAACCCAATGCGGTCTTCATTACCACCACCGTGTCTCTGTCAAGTATCATCTCCATAACCAGATCACTAACAAAAACTAAAAGGCAAAATAATTATTTCGTCGCTGAGGTTTGCCATAATTATTTCCAAAAAAAACAATCTTTTTGCTGTTAATTTTTAATAGGAATGATTAAACAAACCTTAAATTCCTCTAATCAAGAGAGAGAGATAAATGGATGAAGGGTTAGATGGCTTGATTGAGTTTGGATGTTTAGGTTTTAGTTTTGGTGGTGATCTGATTACGGAGATGATAGTTTTCATTTGAACACGTGGTGGCAATTGAAGGACCCGTTGAGTTGAGTGTGGAACACGTCGCGCGAACACACTTTTTCTCGAGGCTTCACACACGTAGCGAAACTCCTGGCTTCTCTTCTCTTTAACTTATATAATGTCAAATGAAACTTTATAAAGGATAAATTATCGTCTTTTTCACTCAATTTAACGGAAAGTGTATTATTTTCAATATTATGAGGTCTATATGTCGTATAATATATATACACGGATTGACAACGTCACAGGACGTTATAAAAATTTTTGTAAATGTCGGGGCACTACTACGTACACATATATCAAATCCATCACTGCCTATCATGACTCACACTGTGTGAGTGAGAGGCGAGCACACATGTATATCCAAAAGATATATTTCGTCTTTCTATGCTCATATAGATGATTAAAAGAACGATATCTCAACCACACAAGTTATTTTTTTTCTTATTCGGACGAGAATTGACAATTAATACGCGGTATTCTACTATGCCAACGGCCTTACGGTCTACCTAGCAACGGTGGCAAAACCTTAGAGGACGTTATATCTCCTCACATTTTGTATAAATGTCGGGGACTACTTAATAATTATGACAAATCTCAGGGACGAAATAATTATTTTTCCAAAAGATAATTTCGTCTTTTCTTCTCAAAATTAAAAGAAAAAGTGTATTTTTTTGACGGAATGACCAATTAATAGGACGGTGGCAAACCTTAGGGACGTTATATATATATAAATGTGAGGACTACCTAAATAATTATATAAAACCTCAGAGACTAAATAATAATTTTCCCTCAAATTATTGATATTATAAACCAAATAAAAAGATTTTACTACTTTCAGAAAATTACATCCTCCCCGCCTATTTATCCAAACCAGACAAGATCCTAAAGAAGGATGATTCCTATTAATTAGTCTATTAATGGTGATAGCAACATAATGATGAAGATGGGGTTCCAAAATTTTAATTACATAACCCCACCATCTTTTTTCTTTTTTGTCCTGAAGAATAATTGCATCATCTCCATTTAAAAGATCTATTTAGCCTACGATATTATTATACAACAAAAAGAAAATTCAATCCCACCATTAAAAAAATCTTAAAAAGTCTAGTCTCTCTTGTCCTGGAAACCTACTTACACGTTACAACCACAGTTACTTGTTATATCTCCGCCCAAACTTTATCAATGCCAACTACTTAGAAAGGATTGATATTTTAATTCAATCATTTTGTCAATTTTCATCTACTATGAATATAATTTAAATTAAAGTTTAATGAGTATCTTTTAATTAAACTTGTTTTCTTATCTTTTACATAATTAAAAAATGGATAATTACAAATTTAATGTCTCAATTTTTTGAAAATTTTTTATTTTAGCGTTTTACAGAAAATGTTTGTAATCAGGTGTTTAAATCCAAAAAAAAATTTTAATCAGGTGTTTTCGACTTACGTGACAAGTCGGATATATAAGTAAGACGGAGAGCGTGCTAAGTTGGATTTTTTAAACTCAAACCCATTAAAATCAAGAACAAATCAAGAATTATATGGTTTAGAGTTGAATCAAACTTGAAGTGAACCAAACCATGGTATATAATCATCATTTAGGGTTTCAAGAGAGGACCAAATCTCTCTTTTCCTCTCTGTTTCACGATTGCAGTGTCGTCACCTTCCCATTCCACTTTCTTCCCGGCGACATCAGTGTGGTGCTGTGATTTCTAGACGAACCACCTCTCATGAAAGAAGGGAAGAGATCGTTCTTTCTTATTGAGAGAGACCCGATCGAAACACCCATTGCCAATGAAAATTTTAAAAAATTGAGACACTAAATTTATAATTAATCATAAAATTGAAAAAAAATGTTAAACACGTAAATTTAGTTTCGTACTTTCCACAAAAAATTTAATGACATTTTCAACTTTCATTTTATCTATTAAAAATTTAAGTCTACAAAATTATAATTATTAAATATTTTAATTTATAGCTAATCAGGTGGTAATTTGATTGATATTCTTATTTATATGAAGAGTGAGAGATCTCGAATTCGAGTTATCTCGATTAGTATTTTCATTAATTTGATGAGTCAAGGAAAAAACTACTCATATTATATAGTTGACAGTATTATTTTCACTCATTAAAGCTTCCAATGAATTAAAAAAAATTAATTTATAAAATAATTTTATTCAACAATAAAATTATTCGATAATCAAAAGGATTGCTCATATTTTTTGACATTCAATAACAAATTAAAAGGAAAAACAAAAAGAAAAGGATATCTTTAAAGTATATGGTTTGGCGAATTTAAGTATATGTAAGCTGTCACTTCAAGGTAGTTTCTTGGCTACTTACACGCTCTGGCGCTAGCCGTATTGACTGGTGAAGTCTACTGACTCTTTCAACTTCAACCCTCTCAAGTCTCAACCTCATCACTTCTTTTATTATCGTCTAACTTCCAATTATTCTTAAATTAAATTTTGCAGTTTTCTCTCTCGCACAATTCCAACTGAACATTTCCTCTTTCGAATCTAATTTTAACCGATCTATCCATCATGTACCCAACAAATCCATCTTCTTACGACAAATATTCCGGTACAACTTCCGTGTTTAGTCAGGATGCGACTACGACTGGGATTCCGGTGAGCACGACGTCCAACTCGTACTATAGTAGTGATATTTCTCTTGAATCTAAGAACAAGGAACCGTGGTCCTCGGGGCTTTGTGACTGCTTCTCCGACTGGCGAAACTGTAAGTTAAAGAACTTTCAGAAAGTAGTTGGCTGCTTGCTTGTTTCTAAGGTGGCGCGTTTTTCGCACGCGCTAGTTATTAGAGCGTGGGAATGGATGATTTTTGGAAATTCATGTCATGTTCTAAATTATTTGTTGGTCGGTTTTACAGGCTGTATAACATTTTGGTGCCCATGTGTTACTTTCGGACAAATTGCTGAGATTGTCGACAAAGGATCATCAGGTAAGTAATTAATTACAACTAATGTTTGTATCTTTAATTAATTAAACTTATTAATTACTTAGCTTGAGTAATTGATTTTTTTTTTTTTTTTTTTACTGTTTGCGCACGGTAAACTCATGTCATTGTTCTAAATCACTGTTGTCGCTCTTAAACCAGCTCTGTGTGCTCCCGCATATTCAACACATTGTTTCGCCACTTTGTCCTACGTTTCAAGGATCAATCCTTATGATCGCTGCATTTCATTGACCGAGATATAGGATTTCACTCAGTGTTACAGACTCAGCAATTTACATTCACTCAGAACTTTAATGGTACTGCAGTTTAATTCTTTAATTAATGCCCTTCACACACACATTACTTACGCGTTATAATAATATTTCTTTTTTCCTTTTTTTTGACGATAATCTTTTAGTAGTTCACTATTGAGGTGTTGATGGGTGCACTTGTGGTTGTGAATGGAAGCCACTATACAACCTTAATTGCACATGTGTGACTGGTTCGACCTGTTTTGCTCACTCATGCTTGCATTATGAGAGGAAAAACTGATGTACTCGCTTACGCCCGAACCACACTCTGAAGCAGTAGCCCCTATATCTAGTGGCGGTGCGCGAATATTGGCCTTATGCCAAAGAATTATCGGGTGTCGCGAGAACTTAAAATACACACGACGCTCCGTGTCTGATTTTTTTTTTTTTTTTTTGAGATAATCTTTTAGTAGTTATGAGGTGTTGATGGTGCAGCTTGTGGTGTGAATGGAGCACTATACACCTTAATTGCATGTGTGACTGGTTTCGCCTGTTGCTACTCATGCTTCTATAGAGGAAAACTGAGGCAGCAACACGCATTGAAGGAGAGCCCTTGTGGGGATTGTTTGGTTCATTGCTGCTGCGAATATTGTGCCTTATGCCAAGAATATCGTGAGCTTAAAACCCGTGGATATGACTTGTCTATAGGTAAAAAGATTTGGACTTTCTTTATGGGTATTATTTCAACTATTATGGGTTCTTCTAAATTTGATAGGGTTCTTATAATTAATTATATATTTTGGGTCTTTGTTGTAGGATGGCATGGCAATGTGGAGAGGAAGAACCGGAGCCTGGAGATGGCTTCAGTGCCACCGAAGGTCGAAGAAGGCATGAGTAGATAGAGTGGGAGATCTCAGGTCTCTGGTCGTACTTGTCAAACCGTAGTAAATCTTAGTTTGGTTTATATTATAAATCCGAATCATAAATGCATGTAACTTTTTTTTTTTTACCGTTATTTAAGATTTGGCTAGAGTTCAAAGTCAAACTTACCAACACATAGCCTTGAGTGGAAATAACATTGATCAAGATATAAATATATAGATCTAAAGGCATTCTTAAATGTGTGGAACTAGATTCCAGGTGCTGTATTAGTGTTTTGTTTATTCAGTGGAAACTAATGCTATGTTTAAATATATTCATTGTTGTTAGTGCAACTAATAGTTTTTGGAGCAAATAGAACAATAATCCAACATTAGCAGGATAAAAACTTCTTGGTTTCCCAGGGTCACAACCATCTCTGTACAGAATTTGATTCCTCTATATACAGTTGCGCGTAGAAGGTAAAATGTGATTAACTTTAATCAAATAAAAGATATATAATATTACAACAAATCCAAATTTCATTCCGTTATGACCAACCAAACATGTTGGCATTACCAGAGGATTGCTTGGAATTCTGAATCTTGGTGAAAAATTAAAGTTTGCCATTGAATTAATCTCACTCTGGATAAAAATCAAGGTCCTTGGGAGGACCTTTTCGAAGTTTATCTTGTAGATCCAATTGCTTTGGCACGACAAGTTCAGTTCCCTCCCCTGACATGCAAAAATATCTCTCTAATACCATCTGCAACGAGAAAAATGCCAGTAAACAATATAAGAAAACAGAAAATTGAGATAGTTTCTAGCGAGGACAATATTTTGCATACAGCAGTATCCTTCTCATACGAAGACGTAAAATAATTTCATTCCATACCACAGCTGCATAGGCATCAACGCTCTTTTGCCGAGCACTCTTGCGAAGGCCCCTGAAATAGTTCACACAATTATCTATCCATCAACGTTATTTGCCTCCATGCAACTGCATATTATCTGACTGATAAGCAGAAAACTTTTATGCATTGTCTGTAATATGGCATCTTCAGATAATGCAACCACCTCTACTAACTAGTATTTTGCCAGGGGAAGGAAAACCATTGCTTAATTGCAAAAAATCATGAGCACTCAAATTCCTATTCCACTATTTTGCATTTCAATCCCCAAAATCAATTTATCAATTACATCAACTCTTCTATTCCAGCTGTTCTTTTATCGCAGTACCTCAAACTTAAAGAATCAGACATGACGAATAGGATATCAAAAGAATTTCTTCATCTTCTGTATATATGATGGAGATGCCAAACTGTTCATCAAAATATGTCACTCCAAATGCCATGAAGTATGTTTAGGAGGAAAAACTCGCGGCATGCAAATCAAAAGAATTCACATAATTCAAGTGGTTCAGGGATAGAGATGATTAGGCAAGATAACACCAAATTTAATTTATAAATTAGTTTGTGACCACCAATTACTCAAATCCAAAAGTATGAATAAAACAAAATGTTTCTGATCGATAATTACATGTCAATCATACGGTAAGTGGCTTCCATCGATGTCCCATGTTCATCCTGCAGATACACTCTCCAGCCCCTAAATTTCATAAACTGAAATCAATACCCATATGCAGAAACAAAAAGGTGGATACTCTAAAATCATCAAAAGCAATAAATCAAGAATAAAGGAAACCAATAGACTGAATAAATATGTTTTTCACAAACTAAATTCTTAAAAATACACAAATATAAGCAATGGGATTTTAATACTTACAAATGAAGGATAGAGCATATAAATAGACATCAAAATGCTACCCCAGTTTGAAAAGCTAAATTTCATAAGCATTCAATTCAAAAATTCTATTTTGTCAAATCTCATGTTTGGAAATGGGTTTGATATTGCAAGAATTAGATTTAATTGGACTAGGCTCATTGTCAAACCACACAAATATCATCATAGTATATATCCAAGTCTCCTAAAGTTAAATACTATTGGTTTTACGATAATAAAGAAAATAACCTAAATAGAATTCATTATATATTAACATGGTGTTTGAAACAATTCTTGCATGAGTTTTTCCCAACTGTGCGTTAAAGTTCACCTTTCAGCTGCTCGAACAGCAAGCCTTCCAGCAACACAACGAACTTTGTTGGATTGGGGGGTTTCTTTTCCATCTGAAGACTTAGGAAGCCCAATTATAAATTCATCTGCCTCCTACGAAGTCTCATTCATCATATAAAAAAAAAAAATTTAAAACAAACATATTAAAGTTAGTGTTTTTATTGTTTTTATTATGTATTATTAGCGAGAAATTTATACCTCATCCTCTGCAATTTCAAGAAGCCGGAGCTCAAGCTTTTGTCCTCGCAACTCCAAAACCTAAAACAGCTAAAGCAAAATTAAAATTTCAATTTTAATCCAATCAAAAATAAAATAAAGCAAATTGATTACCGTTAGAGGACGAAAGGAGAAGCCTTTGCTGAGGGCAAGGCCAGTGCGAGACAATCCCAAGTCTATACCTAGACTGAAACCGCCTCTCCACAGCGAATCGCTCTTCCGGCGAAGGGCATTTGGGGGAATTTCTTGTATGGACAACAGTGCCCTTAACCTAAAGCCGTGTTTGTAGGTTTGAGGTAATGGTAGTCGAAGAGAAGAAGGGACATTACTGACCCTTGGAAGAGAATTGATGCTTGAAGTGAACAACTCTGTTAATTGAAGGAAAGGGTTTTGTAGTGAACACATTTACGAGGAGTCGAGGACTGAGAGACTGTGCGAGTCTCAGCTTCACTGTTCCACGAAGAAGCCACGTCTTGTTGTCGATGATTATGGGCCTGAAATTGCGATCCGGAACGCGCCGTTTTTTTTATTGCGCTGAAAATGCCGAGCTTCAACGAAAATAACTCGCTAGACTTTTATAATGATGGAAAAATTATAAATTTCTCTTCATATTATATTAAAATTAATTACTCTAGACGTTTATAATTTGAAAATATATTATTTTATTTTTAAATTTTTTATTATTATACCATATTGTTCTTCCGTAAAAAATTTAACTTCTTTCATTAAAGAGCTTATAAAAAGATATAAATATCCTTAATCCCCATTAAATTTATATTTTCTGCCAAGTGAGAGTGATTTCCGATAAAGTTATGAAAGATTTTTGTTCCAACTGAGATGGGTTTAGTGAAATCATATTGTTGAAGAAGACAACAAAAAGGAATTCGATTCAACATTTTAATGTAATAAACTCTGTTATATTAGATTTATTCTAGTAGTGTGTCTTGGATGTATTTCCCTTTGCTAGCACCTACAATGAAAAGCACCTGGACTCCTGAGTCCTGATGAGTGATGAGTCCTAAGCTTCATTGGTCCAACTACCAAGTGGCCCTTGAAAACCAGTTGTCCTATAAGATTCCCTCTTTGTCAGGGCAGGAAGGGGACATTGAAGACCAGTCCAACCATATATAAATTCCACATTTTCCTCTTTTTTTCCCGCAATTGCCGTTTGTTTATCTTAACAATGGTAGGGCCCCTCACTAAGGATGGCTATTGAATAAGTGAGTGCTTAAAAATCTACATTTTGTTTTCTTCATCCTTCCAAAATTTAAAAGCCCCTAACACATAAAATTATCTCTAAACTTTAAAATGGCATGATGGGCTCAAAAATTATTATTAAAAATTACAGAATTAATAATTGAACCTAGGAAAGTTTCAGGACATCACCTTACCACTAGATCAGACCGCTAGAGCAGAGGATGATTTGCTTATTTAACTTGCAACTTAAGAATAGAGGACTCCAACATGTTCCTCAAAAAGCTTTTGTCTAAGTGACTAACAAATCAATCAAAGAAGAAATCCCGTAAAACTATAAAAAATGACATCACAGTCACAGTCGACGAGTGCGAAACAAACACTTTAATTTCTACAGTCAATAATAGAAATGGAAGCATGAAAGGCATCAACTCCTCCAGTCTTTCACTAATACACACATATTGGGTTCGGTTTTGGTCGGCTGCAGAGTTCCCGCTAATCAAAGTAAATATAGTTGATTGTCCCCTCCATGCTTAGCCCAACAACGTCCTCGTCGATGCCCAAAACATAAAAGCTCGAAAAAGAAAAGAAAAAGAGACGCATCTATAACCATAACCACAACCATAACCATTACCAACCTATACATTATTGCACGTCCAATAAACTTTCCTCTTTTTTCTCTTCTCTCTCTCTCTCTCTCTCCGCCCTTTTTCTTACATCCCTTTTGCTTTTGTCTTGTCTCTCTTTGTTTCTTTTTTCTCTTCTCGGTGGCTTTTCCTCAAACATTTGTTTTGCATTTCCACTAACCACTGCATCTAGCTGTTTTGTCCTCAAAATAAAGAATTTTTTTATGATTTTAGTTGTTTGAGTGATGAAACGATAAGGGAGAAGAATCTCGGGTACGATGGAGGGGGCAGAGTTGGAACTGGAGAGGAGAAGTCGGTTCTTAAGCAGTTTAATAGAGAAAAAGAAAGCCAAAGAGCAGCAAGAACAATATGATCGACTCAATGTTCGTGTTAGAGCTTCTGATATGCCCATTCCTTTGCAAACACGAGCTTTTAGATGTGCTCGTAACCAGCTCGACTCCATGCCTGGAAAACTTGATAGCAAACGCCTTGCGCTTGCACTTAAGAAGGTTTGAATTTTGGTTTTGTTAAATTTGTCAATCCTGTTTTTTCTGGGTGTTGATCTTTGTTTGATAGTGCAAGCTTAAACGGGTCTGCTTTATTATGGTAATTCTGTTTTTTTAACGCTTGAAATAAAAGTGTCCTCTTTTTTTTTTTTTTTTTTTTTTTTTTTTTTTTTTTTTTGCACTTAAGAAGGTTGAATTTTGGTTTTGTTAAATTTGTCAATCCTGTTTTCTGCGAGGTGTTATCTTTGTTTTATAGTCAAGCTAAACGGGTCTGCTTTATTTATGGTCAATTCTGTTTTTTAACGCTTGAAATAAAAGTGTCCTTCTTTTTTTTTTTTTTTTTTTTTTTTTTTTTTTTTTTTTTTTTTTTTTTTTTTTTTTTTCCTGAGACGAATTCTTCTTGAAAATGTTTGTTGGAAATTAACTTCCTGTCTTGGTGAATAGTCTGTGGTTTTGCAATTATATGAAATTTTTTTGAATGCATAAAGTGAAGGATTCTTGTGAATGTGTGCATAGAGGCGGTCCAATTGCGTGTCAGTATTGTGTTTTTTTCTGTTTCCATAATGGGATTGAATATCATTAGTAATGAATGATGACAGTACAAAGCACATGGTAAATTTTAAATACTTGTGGTCCTGTTAACTGTAATTGTTCTGAACTTTTTCTGTAAAACTTTAATTGCTTATTTTGAGTTTGAAAGTGGAATGAACCAAATTGTTCACAGGCGTGAAACTGAAAAGTGAACGAACAGCTTTCGTGTTGTATCCTTTGCCCCTTTTCTAGTCTGAGATTAATAACGCTAATGAATAATTGTTTTGCAAATCACAAGATTAAATAACTTATACTGAATTGCCTACTATTATTGAATTAGCATCACACTTTTTTTTCCCTTTGACAATTGTATTCCATTTTTATTTTCAGGCAAGTCTGAATTAACTTGATAGTATCACCTAGTAATTTGTGTTGAAATTGCATCTCTAATTCTGTATTAGGGTAAAATATAGTATGATCTAGGTTTCTGTAGAATGCCACAAATAATGGTGGTCAATTAATTAGAGAAAGCTTTCTAGTCAAAATAGTAAAACAATAACTGGGATGATTTCAAGTTAGTCATGTTCAGAATCATATGCTTGACAGGATATCCAATACCAGCCTGCTTGCCTAGTGAAATGGATTGCTGGTTTGCTTCATGTTTGGATGAGGTCTTAAATATGTTCATGTTACGATGGCAAAGGAAAAGGAAAACAAATAGGATCTATCATCTTTTTGAAAAATAGCATTGTTTCTAGCATGTGACTGTGAGACTCTGCGACTCTCTTGATAATCCATTAAACATAGCAATACTATCTTTTTAATTATCAGGTATCAATTTCACTTTATTTGTCGAGTAATTGACAGCTTGTTATTGTATGAAGATAGAACCAAACCAGGTGACTGTGGAATCAATGTCACCATGGGTTTTACAAAAGTATCTGTAGTTTACTTGATCAGATTGGTGTAATCTGGCCCTGGCCACGATAGTTCATTCCAGCAAAAACAGACTCAAAATTGAGTGTTTTGACTTATATATATATATATATATATATATATTTGCAAATGATTGCGGATGGAATTCGACTGTGTGTGGTAGTTTGAGCGAATGTTAACTTGGATGGTACTTTCTAAAGATAACGTGAAGGTGCAAAGTGACATTTTTTCAAATGGCAAGGTGAAACTATGGACTCAATGGGTTAAGATTTTTTTTTTTCCTTGTGTGTGTGTGTGTGTGTGTGTGTGTGTGTGTAATATAAACCGTATAGAATTTTATTGCATGCTCTTTTAAAAAAGCATTCCTTTTAATGTTGATATGTCAATACAAGAGAAAAATTTCTTCCAATTGTTGCCAAATAACTTTTTAGGATTTTTTTTTTCCCAGCTTGATTGTATGGATTTTGTTGACAGGACTTTTCATTTAATATGAATAATCCAATTTTCCTTTTTTTTGTTCTGTAATCCTCCAGGAATTTGACTCTGCATATGGTCCAGCTTGGCATTGCATAGTGGGAACTAGCTTTGGTTCATATGTTACTCATTCGATAGGAGGCTTCTTGTATTTTTCAATTGACAAGGTTTACATCCTGCTTTTTAAGACTGCTGTTGAGCCTTTAGAACAATGATGGTTTGCAAATTTGAGTTCCACACTCAGTCTATGTTGTTATTTATATCATAAAGTTTCCTCCTTTCCTTTTCTTGTATTTTAAATTACTGAGTGTAATATTAAAAATTTTCTTCCACCCACTAGACAACACTCTTTTTATCTTCCTAGAATGAAAAATGCTTTTTTTTTTTTCCTTGATTAATTCTAGCATCGCATTCCATCAGTTACACGTAGCTTATACGGCCAAATATGAATGTGTATTATATTTGCCAGTTCTCATATTTTGGATTTTCTAATTATTAGTAAATTAGACTTGCCTTTTTACTGAGCAAGAAGGAACATCTTTATTCGGGTGACTGCCAAACCGGATAGCCTCATCGACATTTTCATTCTCTGGCAAGCGACTCTACATTCACTTACATTTTCAATTATTTATGTATGCAACAACTTTAACCATTTGTTTAATCATGACTATGAATAGCTTCTAGTTAATATTTAAATGTCAATGATTTGATGTTTTTATTGTAATTTATGAGGAGTAATAACAATACATAATTTTCATGCCTTCATTTGCTTTGCAAGTAAGAAAAAGTGAAGGCTTTGACTCTTATCCTCTAGCCGACTTGCGATGTGGCTCTTGTTGGTCCATACACAGAAACTGTCTCCTTTCACAATCCTTTTGCCCCTCTCTCTCTTCCCCTTCTACTGAATCTTTATTTTTATTGTTTTTTCTGCAAGTCGTTTTTGGAAGCAATCCACTTGGCAAATCCAGTACCATTACTGCGTAGCTTGAGGATATGGAGATTGCCATTACTGAGTCTATGCAGACTCTGTCAATCCAACCTTCTCTTGAATCTGGTCCCAGTTCCAGAAAGGAGCATATAAACCCAGAAACTGAGCCAGAGCCACCACACGAGGCTCTGTTCCTCGTCTTGGCTTACCTTCCTGTGTTTGAGCTTCTTAATATGAGTGAAGTTTGCATGTCATTTAGGGATGCAGTGAACAGGGATGTATTGACATGGCTGGATATTATCATTGATAGGCCTTTGAGCTCATGGTTATCTAATGAGATTCTGATGAAAATTACTTCAAAGGCAAATTGTAGATTGAGAACTTTAGTTCTCAGGAATTGTGCAAAAATAACAGATGATGGACTTCAAAGGATCATAGAGAAAAATCCTTTTATCAGCAAGGTATGCTTATGGAAATCCTTAATTTTATATTCCTGCACTCCTTCATTATTGAGATTTTAATTTTAGCTGGATAGATTATATCAATTGAAGAAGCAAATTAATGAGGCTAAGGTGGAGTCTCAAGGATGAACATGAAGCTTACTTCCCTCTAGTCCACAGTATAGTAGAGTCTCAAGGGTCCGTATGCAAATGCAAACAAAATCCTCATTATCTTGTTTCGTTTTTATTTTGTATTGATTCAGCTCCACCTACCAGCATGTACTGGCTTAACCCCTGAGGGAATTATCAGAGCTGTGAAGACGCTGACCCAAAATCAAAACAACTTAAACAGTCTGCAGATACACAATATCCACAACTTAAAGAAAGAACATATTGAAGCCCTTCGCTCCTATCTTCAAATCAATCCATTACAGAGAAAACCGCAGCTTATTTTCTATCATCACTATAGAACTTCTTCACCATCAAGAATTAGGAAAATTGATCGCATACTTGATGTGGATATATGTCCAAAGTGCAATGAGATTACAATGGTTTTTGACTGCTCAAGGAAAATATGCTGGCAGAAGAGAGACAGGCTGCTTACAGATTGCAGGGGATGCAACTTCTGCATTCCTAGGTGTGAAGAGTGTGGAGGATGTGTAGATACTCGGGAACTAGAGGAGACTGCATGTGGAGACATATTGTGTTCAAACTGTTGGCTTCATCTTCCAAAATGTAATTATTGCAACAAACCATATTGTAAGAGAGATGCCAATAAGCAGTTCAATTCACCAGGTTGTACTACTGGGTTCATTTGTGAAGCATGCCATGTGAGTTATCAGACAGTCAAGCTTGACTTATGTTTCTGTTGAATATATACGAGCAATAATGTGTAGTACATTTTTGTTTCAGTTACAAATCAACGTGGTTACTTGTTTCAGATGTTTTAGCCTAGCGGTCTTGTATTTACTTCGTTTTGCAAAAAGGGTTCAAGTTTTAACAGCCCCTTCCCTTCACACATTTCCATTTTCCAATGTACAAAATGAACAGAGAAAAATCCAGTTTATAAATTTCAAACCTTCCAAAAAAGTGAACATTGAAAATGAAACATAAATTCGAACGCCTCAATGCGCTCTGCAGAATTCTATACTAAAGTCACTGCATACTGTTTGTGCAGGAAACAATAGTAGCCGGAAGAAACAATTTCATCAAAATTGTGCAGCCTAAAAAAATCGTCATACTAGCGAATAGAATGAAGGTGTTCCAAATACAGTTTAAAGAATACATCCATATCACCCTAATGAGATAGTTACAACAAAACTCCCAAGCAAATAATCCTTTTGGCTGGTTTGTACAAAATCAAATGACCATCTCATGTTAGAACATGGGAACTACTTCATGGCTCTATGCTCAATCAACCACATCACCCCTTAACTCCTACACTGGAGAACCAAAATTGGGCATGCTGTAAGTTGTCCAGGAGAATTGAAACCGAGTTTTTTTTACAAACTTTGGGCTTCCAAGAATTCAATACAACACAAATGAGAAGTTTTACAAGAAAACTGCACTCATTAGCAAAGCAGCCATAATCACAGGGATTGTAAAAGAACTTGCACTATAGAGATATAGTGGAGGGCTGTCAGAACTCGTTGAATTGGATGATGGGGCAAGCGATGTGGTATTTGTAAAAGTGCCATTTCTTCCAGCACTACACTCAAAATACAAGCAGAGTTTAAAATTGAGGAAAAAATAATATTGAGATAGAGAATGACAAGAAATTTTTGTGAAGTACTAATTACAGAAGAATATGTTAAATCAATTTAAAGCTTTGATTCCTACCTTCCAGGAAATATACAGGAACCATGACCTGCATCAGTAAAACAATATTAGTGATTCTACAAACAGCAAGTAAAGTCAACAAACAATAAGTAATATGTACTGGAAACTTTTTCTGCTTGCGGTTTTATGAAATGGAAAAATAAAAAATATCCGTCTAGCAGACAGGTTCTCCAGAATCTCTAAAAAAATCAAACTGTTAGGCAACAAGACCAAACTCTCTAGAACATTATTATTTTGTAGTTGCACAAAAGCTACCAACTCTATAGACCATTTTGAAAAGGAGTTCCCCCACATTCACGATGAGTCACTGATGGTCAGATTCTCTCCAGTGTCTTTCCTTAGGTTTCTAGATGCTTTTCTGCTAGAACACTTTTTAGCTGCCAACAACTCAGCCTATTGAAGCTCATAAATTAATTACCAAAGCTGCTATATAATTGCTAAATATTTTACTGTTATTGTGTTCTTTTTTTTTTTTAACCCAATTCTTTCTCGCTGGGAATACAGATTCTTACTTGGGTCAGTGGTAGTAATGGTTGCCACGCCTTTAAAGTCGCAGGTCCCTGGAGACTTGGCCATCCGCTGAAAATAAGCATTGAAAGCATATGTTGAATGTGCAACCACATTGTCTGGCTCATTACATGGTTGACCTTGCAATAAAATAGAGCAATCAACTCTTCCTGGTCCACAAGCCCAATCTAGTGCTGCCTGTAACATCTTTGGGTCAGCACCTTCCTTCGCAACACAAAAGGTCTGGTTTGTAGTGTCATTTGCCAACACAGTACCAGCACCTGTCAAGTGCAAGATGTAAACTGGCACGCCATTGGAATCAAAGAGTCCCCAGTTCTTCTCAGAAACTGGTCCAGGTCTTATATCCTCATTATAAAGCTCATAAATATAAGTACTAACTGCAATCCCAGGATGTTTGGGAGTGCCAGTATTATTAAGGACATGCCTTATTAAGTTACTGTTATAAGTGTTTGCATTTTCAACTGTTGCATCTGGCTCAGAGGAGTCGCCTTTAGAAGGCCAACCAGACTCAGTCACAACAATGGGAACATTGGTGAAATTTATGTAGGACATTGCAAAATATGCTGCATCAACTATAGCATCAAAGACGTTAGTATAATGGAGAAGTGTATTAGCATCCACGGCTTCCTTATTAGGAGGGAGGGGACGGAAAAGAGCATAGTCTAAAGGAATCACACCATTTGATTGCATGTAATCATAATATGGATATACATTCAGCATAAAGTATGACCCAGTCGATTGCAAAAATTTGATCAAGGGAACCATGACTGGGTCCCATGTACGGTTAAAGAAAGCTTGAGAAGGGGGAAACGAGTCAAGGATGATGGAAGAAGAGTGTGGAGTAGAGACTTTGATTTGGTCATCAAGATTAGATGCAACAAGGGCAGAGTGGATGAACTTTAGGGCAGAGAGAAGGACTGGGGCAGCATTTGGAAGAGTAGTTAGAACTTCAGATCCAACTGCTATGCCTGTGATGTTGGTAGCAGGAACATGGGCTATTACATTACGAGAAACCCAGTTGGCTGCAGTGGCATTTGATTGACCAATTCCAAGGAGCTGCTCATTAGGAACAGAAACTGTTACACGGATCCCTGTGTTGGCAAGTGCAAGGAGCATGGCCCGGTCTGCATCATAAAGCCTGACATGTCGGATATTCTGAGCCTTAAGAAGGGCCACCACCTGAGTTGGATTTGGCATGTCTGAGAGGGCAGTACCAATATTTACACCAATAAAAGCATCTGGAAAAAGTCATTTAAGTGTAAAGGTCATTGTCCTTGTTTGATAATACATTTCATCTTCATGGTAAACCAAAAGAGCCCATGATCTGATCATGAATACTTGCAAAACTATGTTTAAATGAGACAAACAAGCTTTGGCAGGAGAGAATTGAAACACACAAGAGGCAAGCATTTGACATATGAGAGAAAATACAATGGAAAAATATTTTCACATCTTTAGTTCACAGATGGTGATCCCTAAAGGGTAGCATTAAACTTTAGTTTGACCTAATGAACTCCTTTCGCTCCAGTCAGCATGATCCCATCGACTGATAAACATCCACACAATTTAACAAGTGCATCTAAAACACCTAGCAACAACACTAAGCATGGGTAATACCAATCCAGAGAGGAAAAGTTAAAAAACTGAGACCCTGAAACTAAAAGAGTTAAAAAGGAGAGGGCCGGGTAGGGATAGGAGGAACCGCACCAGTATAGGTACATATGTTAATTTTTCCTCTTTTTTTTCCTACCATCATTTCAAAACAAAGTTTGCATACTAAGATACCATGATTCCAGAGCTTAATACAGATTAATGCCTTAATTATCAACCCCAACCAACGAGCCAGATAGTGTTATAAGTTGGTCAATAGTCCAATGAGTCACCTACAACTTATACTTCAAGTTAGTTTCAGGTTGTTGTTTTTGTCTTTTTTGGTAATGAATTTACACAATTTATGGAGCATTGCCTTCCTAAGTTTTTGTTCCGGGTGAAAGCCTCAGCACTTAGTCCATGATTGTCAACAGGAATTTACAAGTCCTTAACCATAGATATTTCCCTGTGTTTAAAATACAATATCTAAGAAAATAAGCATGCTTGTACTCCATAATACCCGGACAATCAGATCTATATTGTATATGATACAACTCAGAAAGGTAATGAACCGAATAATATAATGTAGTGGAATATAAAATGCAACATGTTACAACCCAAAGCAGCAAGATGACAATTATGCCCTTCAAAACAGATTTCTAGGATTCCAATTCGTGTAACAAAATGTGTTTACATCCTCAAGTTTAGGGTATTTTGGTCCTACTATGTATGTATAAAAATACAGTAGAAGCTGGCAAAGGACCGCCACATGAGCTGGGACGCAATGTAGTTAAGATTCCCCAATAAAAGGGGGTAGAGAAGAGATCAGAAATTCTCAACAAAGGAAAGATTAGCTGCTTCACTTAAGTGGCAACAAAGTAAATCACCTAAGGGAAAGAAGAAATTTCTACCTACATTCTCTCTCCATCCCTATCTTGCAGCTTTCAACTGAAAGATTTGCATTAAAGTAAAACAAGATAGTGACTTTAAACTCAAAAACCTTCTTTCAGCTAAAGTATTAATTAGCAACCTCATCTAACATTAAGAACTTGAAACAAATTTTAGTTATTCAGAACTTCGCTCTGTGGTCTCTAACATTATGTTCCAACCAGTTAACAGCTAAAAAGCTAAGCTAGTATGAAATAATATTTCAAACAAAATACTGGGAAAGAAGTCATTAGCAGATATAGAATCACAAGATGAAAAACATTTGAGGCCCTCCATAGCCCATTGGTTATAAAGCTCAACCGCTCAGATTCAATAACAAACCTAATAAAGGATATAAAGAAGCTCAACCAGAGAAGCACATCAATGCAGACAGAGGAAGTAATTTAAAATGAAAGGAAATGAGATGGAAATACTTTGAAATTAAATAGTGGAATATAAATAACACCCAATAGCTAAAAATCATAGTTTCGGATTACGATAGAAAAAACATACATAATAATGAGTTTGAGTTCAAATTAATTAAACACAAAACGTGGAGTTACAAATGAGAAAGTACAGAACCAAGCAAAGTAAAAAAGAAAAGCACCTGAGTAAAAATTAAAATTTGAAAAAATAATATAAAAGCAGCTAGGAGCACATGTATAAACTTACCTTCATCAGCAGAAACTCCAGAAACTACCAATAAGAAAAGCAAGAACAGCACAGCCATAGGAAATCTGTAGACTTAACAGAGCAGCACAACTCCTTAATCTTCAAAGACCATAAAACCCAGATAGGAAATCTGTAGACTTAACTAGAAAGCACAAAAAGAACAAAGAAAAAAGAACAATAAAAAGGAATTTCTAGAGAGAGAAAGTAGAAAGAGAAAAGGCAGCTCCTTTTGAGGTCTCGGTGGGAACTGAAACAGAAACGAGTGTATTTGAAAGAGTGGAGTGGTTTTTTAAGGACTAAGAGTGGATTGTTATTTAGTTTAGTTGTAAAGAGATGGATTTTTCTGTTTTTTTTGTTTCTGTTCCGCCTACAAGAGACAGCAGCTGCAGCTAAATGCAATTACGCAGGGAGCGACCAACGGTTCGTTTTAGGAATTCTTTTTGAACCGAACCATTAAAATCAAATTAATCATTGATCCGTTAATTATTATTTTATCCATTTTTTCCTAATCATCCCTAATTTTTGTAAGCTGAAAATTGAAAATTAACTTTATTAAATTGGCTAATTCTTTGTTCTATGGGTTGATTTTATTTCATTCTTAAGTTATAGGCATAACCATATAATTTATTTTAAATTGAAATCAAATCGATCACAATTGAAATTAAATAATGTGACCGAGGATATTTTTGCTTTTGATAGTATTTTCATGGGCATTCGCTTGTGAACTCCACTCAAACCATGCCAATAATTGTTTTCATTTTCAAACTATAACTAAAACTGTGTGGCTATGATTCCATTTTGGGTCATATTATTTAGAATCAAAATCGCTGGTTTCAGTATGAAACCGGTAATTTTAAAATCAAACCACATTTTTTTTAGAGAACCGGGAGTTATAATCCTGGTCATGCCCATCCATTTTCTTGTTACATTTGTTCACTTTTGACTGATTTTTAATTGGGCGCTGACATTATTAGCACGGACGTTCTTGGTAAGCGCTGAGGCCTACCGCAGAGGAAAACTTCTTTCTTTTTTTTTTTTTTTTTTTTTTTTTGATAGAACAGAGAACTTATTGTAAGCGTGTCAGACCTTTTTCTAATGCAGGTCTCGGTCACAGTCTACGAGGAGAGTTCCTTTGCTGACGTGGCACAAGATGTAGATTCAATCAACGGTCATATTCTGGTTTCAAGACGGCATATAATATATATATTTGTTTCAAATTGCTGTTGTCTGTTAGTTTTGTTTTATTATTTTCAATGTTCTGGAATAGAGTAGTCCCCACGAGGGATAATGCTTCTGTGTATAGATTTTCTTTTTGCTGTCTGGATTGTTCGATAACCCCCTTCTGAAATATGCCAACCTATACCGCTGTTACTGTGCCCAAAATCCAAATAGAATTATGTTTGCCCCTGTTTTTGGTAAAATAGCATAATGTTCTATAAACATTTTTCGTCCATTGTTTATTTTAATCTACAAAAATTATGCTTTTAACTTAATTTTAATAAGACCTTTCAATTAAAAAATCAATTTGGCTGATTTAAGACATTGAATGTTTATGTTTCACAGCATCAATTTTTTGATAAATTATATATTTAATTTTTGATAAATTATTTATTATCATCAAGTTCAAAAGACAAATTAAATATTATTTATTTATAATATTTATCAAGCAATTAAAAACTTATTTGTTTCTTTTGTCATTGAGAAAAAATGATTTAAATAGAAAAAGAAAAGGAAAAAAGCTAATTAAAATTTTTGTTGAAATTTTGTGTTTTGTTTTTTTTTTTTTTTTTTTTTTTTTAAAATTTTTGTTGAAATTTTGTGGTTTTGGTTTTTTTTTTTTTTTTTTTTCTTGCTTGCCTTCATGTATTCATTCCATTCAAACAGTTAGATAATAATTTGTTGAGTATTTATATACGGAGAGATTTAAGATTTGAAATACTCCCAAAATTTTTTATTTTTCAAAACTTTTAAATTTTTATTAAATCAAAATTTCGATTTTTGACTATATGGACCTTTAAACAACCAAACATGCTTTAAATTTGGTCCAAAAGTGGTTGTGAGTTGGCCCAAAGCCCAATATAATTGTTCAGAACTTTTTCGATGTGAGGGCAGTTAAAAATTTTGCAAGAAATAATTGAAACTCCAGCAATTTAATCTGTTTATGAATTATATATAAATTTAATTAACCCTAAAAAAAAATCAAATATCAATAATTGTTCACATTTTATTTATATTCGAAGTGAAATGGAGAAAATTTTGGAACCAAACTAAATAATTTAAAAAATAAATCGAACCGGGCCTTTAAAACTAATTGATCCTTTTGAAAACCACCAATAGCTTGAAAACCAAGTGAAAAACCTGCAAACCGAGCAAAAATCGAGGCGAATCATTAAATTAAGACAAACCGGGTTCGAATCGAACCGGAATGGTCTAGAAGCCCCAAGATTTTTTTTTTCTTTTCTTTTTTTTTTCTTTTTCTTTTTTTTTCTTTTCCTCCTTTTCTCTTTTCCCTTCTTCTTCCTTGCGCCAGCGCCAGGTGCGCGACACCCCTCCCCCTCCCTTTCTTTTTCCGACCATCCGAGACCATCGCCAACCTCGTTGTCGCCTCCTCACTGCAGCAGCCCTCGCCTCCCTTCCTCTCTCTCTCCTTTCGTTTCTGGCGTACTACACTCACAGCAGACTTGTGAGTTTGGATCGGGAAATCGCGTCGCCTCTTTAGCTCAACTCTCCGGCGATCGATCGACTCCAGCTTCATCCCCGTCGACGGTGTAGCTCCGCTCTCTCCTTCTCCATCGTCGTTCACCTACTGGTGCAGCAAATCGCAAGGAGTTGCGATATCATTCTTCGACAGGGACAGTGGCATTTCTTTTCTTTCTTGCACTTTTCCGACATTTTCGCAACTGGGTAAGCAATTTCCAACCTTTCTCTTAGTAAGGTAAGTTGATTAGTGAATTTGCCAGCCTGTGAGCTATGAGATTAAACTGGAATTTAGGAATTTTATTTTTAATTATTCCTTCAAATTATTGCTTGATAGTGTACATATGAGGTAGTAGGTCTAATATTTGCAACAGATTGGTTAGTTGGTGTGCAATTTAAGATTTTAGCGTAGAAAAACTACGAATCTGTGTAATGGCAGCAAATATATTAAATTGTGGTAGAAAGACAAATATGGATGAGGAAGTGTGTGTATTTTTTTTAATTTCCAGGTCGATAGATATTCATCAATGCTTATTCATATTCAATAGATGATGGTTCATGGATCATTAAATGGAATTTCGAGATCTAAATTAATAACAAGGAAATGGAAGAGTTTATAAATTATAATTGCATATAATTATTAAAGGTGTATATATATATATATATATATATAGTTACAGTAGAAGGATATAAAAGTTAAGCCAATATAAATTTTCAATTGTTTATCTACTTAGTTATTTGCTTAACCTTATAAAGTAAAGTTAAAATTTTGTATTGGTGATTAATTATTGATGTTGTTAGTTGGATGATACGAGATACTTAGAACATAATGTGTAAATAATGTGTAAATTGAATAGAGTTAAAACTTTTCTTGTTCTAATTAAGTGGTACTGCAGGTTAAGCTTGAAGTCTTTTACATCCTAAGGGTACCAATTGAAAGCATATGGATAAGAATTAATCGTTGTAAAGTTAAAATTATGCAATATGCTTTGATATACATACATATGTTATCCAATGACTTGATAAAATGATGTTATTAGAATATGAATTAAGCTCATGTTAAGTTGCTTATGGATGTTAAATTGGCATAATGTCATTTAAAGAGCGACGGGTGATTTGATTTGATTGATTGCCCGACGATGGGCTGTGTGTGTGTGTGATATATAATATATATATATATATATATATATCATATATATAATATATATATATTATATATTATTGTGATATTTAGATAGTCCTGTTTTAGGGAGTATGCTGCCGAAAATTTCAATTAGAATCTAGACTAGTTTTAATTTAATGTCATAATTAAATAAGTTCATTTAATTAATTCTATTTAACTTGGCTACGTAATAAAATAGAGTGCTCTAATTATTTATTATCTTTTATTACTCATTTAATTATTTACATATTTATTTATTTATTTTCCATTATTATTGTTATTATTTTATTATTTTATTATTGTTGTTTATTGTTAATACTATTTATTTTATTTAATTGCATTTGATTTGGATGTTTTAATTGTGGCATTTGCATTACGATGTTTAATTTGCATTTAATACTGTCTGCATTTGATGCAATGTTTGATTAATTGTGTTGTGGATAATGCTATGCTTTGTTTGTGTAAGAAATTGGCGATGAAGGTGGACCACCGTGGGTTTGTGAGGACGGTCTGCTGATTATGGATCGCAATATTATCAATGGATATTTGACGATCGCCGGGGAAAAGGGAGATCGGCGCCCCCTGATGCCACCTGATTGATATGGATTATGTGGAAAAAACCACAGGATGGCTTCTTGTTGTTGCGCACCTGCATAATCTAAGATTTGATGTAGCCGCAGGGTGGCCTCCTGTTGTGAGCACTTGATGATCTAGATTGGATGGAGACCACCGGGTTGCCTCCTGTTGGTATGGAAAAAGAAAAGAGAGAATGGAAAATACAATGAGAAGGACTGGTCAGTTGAGGATTAGACCAGTTGGCCGTATGGGGTATTCGGCTCCTGGTGCACCAATGTATGAGAGGGCGAGCCATGTTGTGAGGACGGCTCGTTGGGGTTGGGGTTTCGGTGACGCCACAGACCAATTTCCACGTGATGTGATATTAATTGTGATTACTGGTGATATGTCATTTGTGTGACTGGCTGTATGAGCATATAACTAGTCGGACGACTAGATTAATATGTTTACACATTTGTGTGACTGCGTGTGTGGTGTAAAATTATTACTCCTTAGAAAACTCACATGTCTTGTTTGATTTTTTCAGGAAGTAGGTTTTTCCTTTAATCCAATTTAGGCTATGTTTCTTCAGCGCAGGGCAATAAAGAATTTTTTCTAGTTCCATAATTATTTTGCTATGTAATTATGTGTATGAAAGCTATGTATACTAACAGTTAGTGGACTCCGCAGTTGTAGGATTTGTTATACTTTTATCGTTATTATATAAATGTGATGCATTGTTAATTAGGCCCGAAACTGGGAATGTGTAGCCCGATAAATTTGAGCCGGAGATTTAATAAAATAATTGAGGTTATCTTTCATAATCATATTAGGGCTGGAAATGTTGAAATTGTTAATTAGGCCCGAACTGTGGAATGTTGTAGCCGATAAATTTGAGCCGAGATTTAATAAAATATTGAGGTTTATCTTTCATAATCATATGGGCTGAATGTTGAAATTTTATACCGAGAAATAATAGATGCTAGCGTTTCAGGCTTACTGCGGGCCTCGGGGGCCTTAAACTTACCTGGGCCCTAGTGCCGGTCCGGCCCACGGATACGGGTCGTGGCAAAGATAAACTATAAAAATTTATCCATATATTTACCATATAGTAAACTTAATAGAGAAATTTTTTTAAGGGATTGTTTAAGATTATATAGAATATAAATATTTTTTTTGCTTTATATTTTTAAATTTGAATATTTTTTTCTTTTGATTCTTTTTATTTATTTATTAGAGACTTAATAAGTCAAAATAATACTGCGGGCTACACAACAGAGCTAATCTTTCCTTTAACTCACCAAATTAGTGAAAACAATTATAGTCAATAGTACTCAAACTCGATAACTCGTATCCCTCAAATACACAAGTGATTGGATCCTTTTTAAATTTTTGTTATTAACTGAATAACTAATAGTATTAATATATGAAATTTCAAGAGATTTGCTTTTGTTTGATAAACATTAAATAATAATGTGATTGAAAGACATGAAGTTCTATTTATGCATGTGAAATTACATTTGTTAAATTTTATTGACATGACTTTCTTATTAATGAATTAAGATATTTTTTTCATCTGTCTTATTATGTTAGTGTTATTATAAATAAATGATTTGTCTTTAGCCCAAGAAAGGAGAGGAAAAACAACAAAATAATTGCTTTACCTTGGGAACCATTTTTCGGTTATGAGCTAGGCCCAGCTAAACTGCAATTCCTTGAGTTAGGCCCGATAGATAGATACCTTGATGAAAAATGAATTCAAGCTTAATGATGGCCCATCTAAATTTAAATCAAATTTAAGCTTAATGATGTTCAGGCCCAGCTAACTTTAAATCGAATGCAAGCATCGTGATTTTCGGTTCCAAAGCTGGTCCAGATTTATCAAGTTTTTATATATATAAATAAATAAATAAATAATATTTATTTTAAATTTATTCGAGACTTCAGTCTCTAGTTAAATTCGAGTTTAAAAATTTTTTAAATTGAATTTAGTTTTAAGTTGAGTTAAAATTAAATTTAAAATTTTTAAGTTAATTGAATTTCAAGTCAAATTAAATTTTATCAAATTGAACATCCAGTCTAGCAAATTAGAAGTGGGCTCGTTTGCGCCTATTTCCTCCCACCATCACTTCTGCTGTAAAGCCCTGTTGGCACTAATGTTAAAAATTAAAAATAAAAATACAGTTAATATTAATTACCAATTCTAATAAATTTTTAAATAAAAATAGCAAAATAATTTTTAACAAAAATATCATTTAGAGTCATATTGACTAAGAAAATATTTTCTTGAGATTTTTTCCCCAAACAAACCAGCTTAGCCCGTCAGCGAATCACAAAAACACGTATTGACTTGTAACTTGCACCTGCAATGTACTTGTTTCACTATTCTCTGTTTCCTCTTGTTCGTCACTTTCAGTCGCCAGAAATGGAATGAAGAGCATCACAAATGGATCAAAGCCAGCGATCAATAGCATCAGCAGCTGCAGCTTCCCGCGGTTACCAGTTTCACCCTGCTCGAGCTGCCATTATCGATCTCTTTAATGTCTATTTAGGAGTAAATTTTCCCCGCATTTCTCTCCTCCTCATCCTCCTCCTCCGTTTTCGTATCCCAATTTAATGGAGTTCCCATTTTCAATTTGTTTGCAGAGAAGTAGCCGCCAAAAGGCTGACGATTCAACTCGCGAACCACCGTGAGTTTTTGTTCATGTAGTTCGTATATAGGGCTTAGGTTTTGGCCATAACTTAATAAGAATTTTTTTCTAAGGATCAGTAGATGAACTTTGGACAAAATGAAAAGTTGCTGGTTCTAATTTTACTTTTAGTACCATTTTTTCTGTGTTCTTTTAGATTTTAATTTTTCAAGTATAGAAGATTATTCGTTCATTATTTGCTGCTTCTTGAAAGTTGTTAAGTTTAACCTGAACATATCCGTTATCCTCAGGAACAAGACGCAAAAGCGAGTACTTGCTCTTAACAGAGAGCTCCCTCCTCGAAATGAGCAATTCCTTTTAGATTTTGAGCAACTGCAGAGCCAGTTTCCTGTGAGTTTTAAAATTTTGAGCTTATTCATTAACATCACAAGTTCTAGTTCTGTTTAATTCAGTAATTGTTGTCAAAAGGGCACATGTATATTGATAATGTGGCATATACCGCAGGATCAAGATCAGCTGCGGTCTGTCACAGAATCTGTTCTTATATCTTTGGTTGTTCAGTGTTGTAATCATGCCCCACGGGCCGAATTTCTTCTCTTTGCTTTACGGAGCTTATGCAGCATAGGATACATTAATTGGGATACTTTTTTGCCATCTCTTCTTTCTTCTGTATCCTCTGCTGAAATGTCAGCTGGTCAGGCTGGTCAAACAATGTCAGCTATTTCATCTATGAATTTATCACAGACTGGGATGCCTCATTCTTCAAGTGCAATGCCCAACTCATCGAATTTTCAGTCTTCAAATCCTACATCTCCATTACCCTCAGTTCATGGTATTGGTTCTCCTGCCCAATCAGCAATTGAACCATCAACTGTTGCAAGCTTGTCTCCTGTTAAATCATCTGATATTTCTGGTAATGGGCAACAGTCTACAACAAGGATCAACTTATCTACGAGGGATAATGCCATAAGCAGCTTACGCCAGCTATGTTGCAAGATTATTTTAACTGGTCTTGAGTTCAATTTAAAGCCAGTGACTCATTCTGAGATTTTCCACCATATGTTAAATTGGATGGTCAATTGGGACCAAAGACAACATGGAGTCGATGAATCTGATGGTGTGAAATCATGGAGACCTGACAAAGCTCTGACTGAATGGCTGCACAGTTGTCTGGATGTTATTTGGCTGCTGGTTGATGAGAATAAGTGTAGAGTGCCCTTTTATGAATTATTACGCAGTGGTTTGCAGTTTATAGAGAACGTACCAGATGATGAAGCTTTATTTACACTTATCTTGGAGATCCATAGGAGGCGGGATATGATGGCCATGCACATGCAAATGTTAGATCAGCACCTTCATTGCCCGACATTTGGTACTCATCGAATTCTGTCTCAAACAACTCCTACAATTTCAGTTGAACCAGTAGCAAACTTGCGGTATTCCCCCATCACATATCCAAGTGTGCTTGGAGAACCATTGCATGGAGAGGTGATAATTACTCTAAGGCCCAATTTGGCACAAATGAACTTCACAAAATTTTATAGAATTCATTTTTAATTCTATGTTTTCATGTTTGGTATAAATGAAAATATCGTTTATACTCTTAAAGACTAAATTTCATGGAATTCAACATAGTTGAACCAAATTCTATCATTTGTAAATGAATTCTGCGGTTCAAATTCAGTTACACTACCAAACAAGGGTTTTTTACATTGATCTTAAAAACAGGCGCCTCATTCAAATGAAACTATATGATGCTTGGTGGCATTGTTTTTAAAAAAAGAAAGGGAAAAAAAAGCTGATAACTTTCTTCTAACAAGACCCTTTGCTTTTTTTTTTTTTTTTCCCTTTTTGTATTGCTATTGGTGTGTGATGAAAGAAATCGCCTTAGATATGTGATTCCATCTGGTTTAATGAAAAACCTTTGGTGCATGTGATCTGGGTTGGCATAATGATGTTTCCTTCAAGTTTTATTTCTTGTCACCCTTATGCATGTTGACAGGTAAAACATTGAAATTGAACTCCTTTGCGTTTTTAGCATGTCTCATTTATCAGAAGGGAAAAATTCTAACAATTGTTTCCTCCTGGTTGTTTGTATGATTAAGTATAGGATTCTTTTGCTTGTACATGTCCATGTGCATGTTACATGCATATGCATGTTATTTTCTGCCTCATATCTATTAAGAAAATTTATATTGGTTTTGATCCTTGGCATGGACTATAATTTTGCATTATTTAAAATTTACATAGAAATGAATCCATTTAGCCAATCCCCATTTGGTTTGGATTTAGGCTTAGCTAAATCATGCATGGAAAAACACACACACACAGACACATATTTTTTGAGAAAAGAAAAGAAGTATTATTGTGAAAGAAAGTAATTAATGTACACCATCAAGCAGAAGAAATCCTCCTAAACTCAAAAAACAACTAACAAAAAGAAACATAAAAGGCAAGCTAAAAAAGTAATGTTGCCCTCCAATCAAGTTGGATAACATTCAGAGAGACCCCTCACAAAGCTCTGGATTTTCAGGCTTTTTTGAAATGTTAGTGCCTATCTTTAATAAATAAATGGTTCCCCCTCCTCATTCAAGTTGGATCTTTTTGGAAGAAGAGAACTTTATAGCATTTAGATTCCTCCTGAAATAAAATTGAAAAAACAAAAAGGAAAAAACCAACTTAAATGTAAATATGAATTGTGGTATTTAAGTTCAGCAAGCATTTTATATGAAGATGTTTTGATGACTTTAGCATTTACATATTGGGGTGTGCTTTATATGATTTTGTCTTATATGCGGGAGAAACCTGAGCAAATGAGCTTCCGGTAATTCTGTGCCACCTTTATTTTTGTTATTTGTCCTTCTTTTATTATTTCTTTGATTTGTTAGAATTCTGCTTCTGAAGCTAAATATTTGCTGTTTCTTCTCATGATTTGATACGTGTTAGAATTCTTCTCATAATGTAATAATTGAATTATGCCTTTTACTTGTGTAGGATCTTGCAAATTCTATTCAGAGGGGAAGTTTAGATTGGGAAAGAGCTTTGCGTTGTATAAGACATGCTCTTCGCACTACTCCATCACCTGATTGGTGGAAGCGTGTGCTCCTTATGGCTCCTTGCTATAGGAATCCCGCTCATGGACCTACTCCTGGTGCAGTTTTCACTTCTAGCATGATTTGTGAGGCAACAATTGACAGAATTGTTGAACTATTGAAGTTAACAAATTCAGGCAAATATCTTTTCCTTTTCATTTTATTATGTCCTATATATATAATGTATTCAAAGTTCATAGATTTACTTTTCATTATGTTTTTTATATTGAATTTCTGGTACTATTGATCAGTTAAAGCCGTTGCATAGTTGTGATGCTACCAGACCTTAGGCTTCTATATATTTTGGAGTTTCAATATTTGAGATATTATTTTAATATATGAACTAAACATGCAATGTCATACTCTGCTGGATTAAGAAAAGTAGGAGACATGTTTGTCATAGTAGCTGGTATATGGAAGTGGATAAATCTGCTGATCTCCATTTTTAAACGGCTATTTTGGAAGTCCCACTACATCTGTTATTTCTTTGATGGGCTGGTTTAGCAGCTAATTTTGGCATATGTATTTTGAGCTGAATCATATATCTTCTTTGTGGTGAACTGCAGAAGTAAACTGTTGGCGGGAGTGGCTTGTCTTCTCCGACATATATTTTTTCCTTGTGAAGAGTGGATGCATTGATTTTGTTGATTTTGTGGATAAGCTAGTTTCACGTCTCACAGAGGGCGATCAGCATGTTCTTCGCACAAATCATGTGACTTGGCTGTTTGCACAAATTATTCGAGTTGAATTTGTGATGAATGCATTAACCAATGATGCTAGAAAGGTAGTTTTTTGAATGTATATTTGTGTTGCCTTTCTATTGCAGCTGTGTACTATTATAGCTTCTTTTGCTTTTTCCCTATTATATACTTGGTTGTCTGAGGCATTTATATCAGATTATCTCTTGGCAACATTTAATGGATATTTCCTTACAATATATAACAGGACTCTCATGTTTGGGATTTCACTTTTCACCTGCGAACTTTAACTTGGCAATTCTGCTGGCAGGTAGAAACGACCAGAAAGATTATATCATTTCACAGAGAAGATCGCAATTCAGATCCTAATAATCCTCAAAGCATCTTGCTTGATTTTATTAGCAGTTGCCAAAACTTACGCATTTGGTCATTGAACACATCGACGAGAGAATATTTAAATAATGAACAGCTTCAAAAAGGAAAGCAAATTGATGAATGGTGGAGAAATGTGACCAAAGGTAAATTTCTCTCCATTGTAATTGCAGATTGAATTTTTTTTTTTTTTTTTTTTAAATTTTATTTGGTCATTGAAAACACACTCGACGAGAGAATATTTAAATAATGAACAGCTTCAAAAAAAGCGAAAGCAAATTGATTTGAATGTGGGAAGAAATGTGACCAAAGGTAAAATTTTCTCCCATTGTAATTGCAGATTAATTTTTTTTTTTTTTTTTTTTTTAAATTTTTTATGGATGGCTTGTTGGTTATTAAATTTTTTTTTTTTTTTTTTTTAAATTTTTTTTATGGAGTGCTTGTTGGTTATTAAATTAGAAAACTGTTGGTAAATGTACATCACTTTCATTTTTCTGTTTCAATGATGATACTGTCATAATATATTGATTTTTAGTTCCCATCATAATTGTATATGTAGAATTTGTGTATAAGCTTATGCAATGTTAACTGAGCAGGGAAGGAAGGTTGATTGGCCATTAGTTGTCATCTAGTTGGAATATACTTATGAGCAAAAAGGTTATTGATGGCTGATGAACTTTTAGGGGAAAATTTACATGCCCCATTGTGGGGTAGGATTTTGAAGTTGGTTGGCTATTTAAATAATTTGACATTTGAATAAAGAGGGGTTGCTTGCTTAGTTGTACGGCACTATTTTTCTTGTTCACCATCTTCTGCTTCTCTGTTTTTGTCATTTGGGTGATTTTCCAAATATCTATGCATGCCTTAAAGTTCCTTGATCTTGTTGATCTAGGTGGTGTTCTTTTGGTTACTTGATGCACTTATTATTTACAGTAAATTTAACTTTAAAATGATTGGTTTACATGCTAATATCTATAAGTATGACATTATAAAAACAATCAAATAGAAAAGAACACATTAAACAAGCATGTCGTTTATAAATCCTTCTTACAAAAGCCAAACATTCTCAAAATTCTCCTATTTTCTTTGGCAGTTCTTTTGAGATTAGGATCCAATAGAATACTTGGATCTGTCCTCCAGGTAGTATTTCCGTGTATTACGGTATCACCATAAGTTCATTGAGACTGATTTCCTAGTTTATGTGATAAAGGACTCTTTTATGGGTAATTCCAATATATTTCTAATTCTTTTTATCACTTTTATTTTAGGCGATCGCATGATTGATTACATGAATATGGATGATAGATCAATTGGAATGTTTTGGGTTGTGTCCTACACTATGGCACAGCCAGCTTGTGAAACAGTGGTGAACTGGTTATCCTCTGGTGGAGTTTCTGAGTTGTTACCTGGAGCAAATATGCAGTCAAATGAGAGGCTAATGGTGATGCGGGAAGTAAGCCCATTACCAATGTCATTATTATCTGGCCTTTCATTGAATCTCTGTTCAAAATTGGTTCTGCAACTGGAAGATTCTTTATTTGCTGGACAGGTACTACTTTGTTGCTTGCTTTTCAGAGTTTATATTTGAGATACAATACTTTTCTCCATTCCCTGGACACTGATGAAATTTTTGGCTGTAACTAGTCGACTTCCTTGAATTCCTAGAATAATGTTATAAGAAACTGCAATGAGGAGATGTTGGATAAGTGCACGAGGTCAAGGGTACATCAACATGTCAATTGAGAGAGGGAGGTGAACTTTTAAGGCACAAAAGAGAATTTGATTGAATATTAATAGAAATATTTAGGAAGTGGGTTATGCAGAGCCTAGATGGGAGGCAACGATTACGAGGAAGAATTTTGTTTATGGCATGAATAAGAACATTCTATTTATATCCATCATCACAGTCATATTGCTTTGTTTCTTAATCCATATTCAAAGAAAATCATTTCCCTTAGATTGGTCTAATCAAATTGTCTTTAACCATTAGTTTTGTTTCAAAAATGAGAAACAAGAAGTCTGAAATGTTTTTTTATATTTTATAATTTGCCTCACACATTTTTCAATTAGGTCCACCAACACTGCCTCCACTACCAACCTTACTCACTCCACCTTGCAGCCATCATCATCACCATTATTGATGTTGCCATAGTCCACCATTACCAGAATCATAACCACCACTATAATGACCATCTTGCTACTACTTCTACCACCATGGTCAATTGACATCATCATGCTGCTATCTCCTATGACTTCTACTATCACTTAATACAACCAGCAATACCTCCATGGTTTTATTTGTAGTTTTTATATTTTAAAATGAGATGAACAGTTTTTAGAAGCTAAAAAAGAAAACTCTAAGCAGTATTGATTTCCTATTTAAAGAAAATTATTGAAAGATTTCATTAGCCATCAATGATTTTTGGCTTAGTGGTGTTAAAACTTAAAGTCATCTCTTCAGCTATGAAGTTGAGAGTTCAAGTCCCAGTTAAAGTCTACTTTGCCAAAAAAAAAAAAAAAAAAATCAAGTCCCAGTTAAAGTCTACTTTGCCAAAAAAAAAAAAAAAAAAAGAAAAGAATGGTTGGAGACCTATGAATATATGTTCAATTTTTTTTAACTTTTTCCCTTTAAATTGTTTATGAATTCTGAAAGTGAAGAAGCATTGCAATAAATTTCAAAAATAGTACCCAGAAAGAAGTCGCAGATTATGCTATAAACTAAAAATTGTTATCTGCTGCTGAGACAAGAGGAGGGGCCCAAGGATTGGCCCCTTGCCCCCTAGCTCAAAAATTTTTTTTTGAAATTTACTTTATTGATTGGTGGTTTTTTTTTTTTTTTTTTTTTTTTTTTTTTTTTTTTTTTTTTTTTTTTTTTTTTTTGATGTAACCCCCTTAATTTTTGAAATTTTTTTTAGCACCCCTCCAAACAGTTGATCTTGGCTCCGAAATCACAATGTTTCAGGATCATGATGTGGATGTAACAGAAAAAATTAAAAAAGAAAAAGCATCGATATTTCTTCAAAATTTCAAGGGTACCTTTTGGGTGAACTTATGATAAACTTATCATGTATCAAATCAAATTAAGATTAGTCCAGGGTTGGAGGTTAAGATAGTGGTTCTCTTGAGTGACAGGAATTGGACACCATTTAGCTTCACATTTTTTCTGGATAGTGGTAGTAATTTTACCTTTGGAAGCTATAACAAACATACCTGAAACTTTCACATTTATTTCAGGTGTTGCAATGGGAGACGGCACAAAGTGAAGTGGACAGATTAAAGTTGAGATTGTCACAATTATACCATGATTATCTACTTAGAGTGAGGCTTCTCTGCTGAATTTATGGCTTATATATATATATATATATATATATATTTTATTCTTTAGTTGTGCCCATTTATTGGTTTCAGTTTCACAACTTTGGATATGTGTTTTTATTTGTCTTCACAATAACAAGCAACTGAAATTAGAAAATGCATAGTGCTCTGTAGTGTCTAATGGGACTTGCTCTATTAAATAGATATCATATATCATTGAATACTAGGAGTTATTTTTCTTTTTTGATTTAGTATAATGGAAATGATTTGCAGTTTCTGGCAACTGTTGGTCCATCAGATGTATATCAATTTGAAAGTAGCTTCTGATATGATGCTAATATTTGTGCAGGTTATTCCTAGCATTGCAATGGTTGAAACATACTGCCGATTGCTCCTCATTGCACCTCACTCATTGTTTCGTTCACACTTCACAGTAATTCTCTTTACCTTCTAAATTGTTACTATTATATATATATATATATATATGGTTACTATTATATATATATATATATGATATATATTTCTTTTATGCATTATGTAGGCTAATATATATATATATATATATATTTCTTTTATGCATGTATGTAGGTACAGAAAACTATTTGAGTATCTCAAGGGTAAAGCCATGATAATATGCAAGTTAATGATCTAACAATTTGTTGTTGGTTTTAAATTTTTTTATATATTACTCTTCCTAGTGGCATGGTTTTCAACCATATGTACATTTCTCTCATGGCCATGGTTCCACTGCCTTGTGTGCCTTGCACTTGCATGTAACAGTCATGGCCATTATGCGTTTGAGATTTCTTTCTTTCCCCTTTTCCTTTAAGAAATTTGTTGTATTTTGTGATGCATAGATTGGCAGGATATTGACTAAAACTTAGCTGTAATAATATTATTCTCAATGAACTTTAATTATTGTTTCTCAAAGCTGAAAGAAAATATTATCGTTAATTGTTAGTTTTAAGTTGTAGAAATAAGTAAGTAATCAACAGAAAGTGAATTGTGCTTTATCATTCACAAATCAGATATGTAGATCTATCTAAGGGACATGATTGAAATTATAATTGAAGTTTAAAATTGAAGTTTAAGTTTGAATGTAATTTGACAAAGGGAAAAGTTCAATTTTGGCTTTAAATATTATGCTAAAAACTGAAAACTAAAAGAATCATATATCTGAATACATGTAATCATGTAATGGTTCAGAATTGTAATTTCCATACATGCAATAAAAGTCAAGCCCTTAAAGGGTCTGTATTGCCGAGAAAAAAAAAAAATTATACCTAAAATGTTGATTTATGTTCATTACAATTTTTTTTTTTTTATGTAAATTTTGCGTGTTCTAGTCATAGAAAAATTTCAGAACTTTAAAATAACGCTCACAAACTGTTTTTACCAATAATTTCTAAAATTGAGCTTTTCTTGAAAAACAGTTTTAGTTCCAACCTCAATACCAAACATACTCTAACTATGATTCAGAAAAAGATACTAGAAAAGTTGATGGGTTTTTTTCAACAATTTCTAAGAGTCACACCTACACTGGAATCTAAATTATAAGCCTTAATTTCTTTTCACTGACTTGTGGAATTACATTAACAAACCCTGTTGGAAATGTATCAAAAAACAGGAATTTGACCTGTCTGTGAGAAAGAGAGAAAAAGTCGTCAACTATTACATGGTGGTCACGCTGATAATTAATGATTGTCCATGAGTCTTGAAACTATGTTACAATATGAGATTTGTAATGGCTCTTCAAACTTCCATTATGTAGTGGCTGTGAGAATGCATAAAGACCATTTTTTAATTCCACAAAAGGAAGACAAAATATTCCTCCTGCATGTGCAGCACATTCTATGATAGCGAGGCAAAATCATTCAACAACAAGTAGAAGATGCTGGCTGTTTTATACTCATTTTTCCATAGAAGTTGATAACCACATATGATCCTTTCCAAACTGGTTAAAGGAAACCTTGAAACCTTTCATGGAAAGCAATTTATTTGATGGAATTTTAATCAGCAATGATTAAATAATTAATAAGTTTTTGCTTTAAACTGGTGTATGTTTCAAGTTAAATGCCTACCCTTCCCTCCTGCGTGATCTTCATTCCACCTGTGTTTTGATTCATCCATTTACATTTCTTATGCTTGTATAATTTGAGAAGGTACGATATTAATATGCTAGTAAAATACCTTTAAGTTTTCTCTTTGCAGCATTTGGCACAGAGGTACCCATCCCTATTGAGCAAGCCTGGAGTCACGCTTTTGGTGTTTGAAATTTTGAACTATCGGTTACTTCCACTGTACAGGTAATAAACTTTTAACTTCATCTCGCAAAGCTTTTCTTCTGCTTTCATAGGATGATAAATTTGCATAATGTGCTGGAATTTGAAGAGGTTAGGGATCTGAGTGGATATGTCTGTATTATTTGTTCTAGACTCTTACCATCTGTGGACATTCTCATTCATGGGTGCCTCTTTTATTTGCTTCCTAAATAAATGTCCTGCATCCTGTTTGGTAGTTGTGAATTTGTTAAATTATTGCAAACAAATGCTTCAGAATCCATGGATCTTTTTAGAATATGGGCTCACAAATGCTAAATAAATGGATAGCCTTTGATCTTGAGATAGCTACAAATTTTATTTGTTAGTGACACATCCCTTGTTTGTAGGTACCAAGGGAAAAGCAAATCATTGATGTATGATGTTACTAAAATAGTTTCTACTTTAAAAGGGAAACGAGGGGACCATCGTGTATTTAGACTGGCAGAAAACTTGTGCATGAATCTAATTTTATCGTTGAGAGATTTTTTCTCTGTGAAAAGAGAAGGGAAGGTATATTTCTATCATTGCCAGGCAGAAAACTTTTTTCCTATTTTCTTTTCTCAGCTGTGTCAGACTAAGATTTTTGGTTTGAATCTTTTTTCAGGGTCCAACTGAATTCACTGAAACTTTGAACCGTGTGACCATAATTACTCTTGCCATTATCATCAAAACTCGTGGAATTGCTGATGCTGATCACTTGCTTTATCTTCAGACTATGCTAGAACAGATAATGGCAACTAGCCAGCACACATGGTCAGAAAAAACTTTGCGCTACTTTCCTCCTCTCCTTCGTGATGCCTTGATTGGGAGGATGGATAAAAGGGGGTTAGCTATTCAAGCATGGCAGCAGGTTAATCATCCAACTTCCTTTTCATTTCCTTATTTTTTTTCACAACGAAAATACAGAGGAATGATAAAACAGTTTAAATGTATCATTATAAAGGGCTTCGTTACAATATAAAGGAGCCTCAGTCTTCAGTGGGGTAAAGGAGGGACCAGAGGGCGTGAGTTCTAATAACTAAGTAACCAAAAGTGATCCCACTTAAAACTTTACAGTTCAAGAGTTTGGAAAGAAAAGAATCTTCACTTTGGTTTCAAATGAAAGGTAAAATTAAAATGGATGGAACTGAGAGAGCATGCTGCTAGAGCTTTTGTAGAGGATTAGTCCCCTCGTATTTGTGGCAAGGATGTGCCCGCTATACGAATTATTGGAATTGATTGTGCTGCCGCAGCATGTCATCTAGTCTTCTATCATTTTATTCATTATCTTGCACAATACTAAGAACTTATGAAACCATTCCCACAATGTTCTTATCCAAAAATAAGGTAAATTGACAAGTACTGGATCCTGTAAACATATCAAAACCTGAGATTGAGTTTTTTGTGATCAAGGGGGAATGATGCAGTACACAATTTTTCTTACTGGAAAAATTGACATGATTTTCAAGGCTAGATCCTTCCATACATTCTATATGCCAAGTGTATTGGTTTAGTTAATTAGGTTTTAACAGTATTGTTTATTCCAAAAACAAAGTAAGTCAATTCATTCTTAGACTTTATATAGTGTTTGGTTAAGATCGAAGGGAATACTATTGAGATTCTGTTTTATTTAGGTTTTCTTTGCATACTAAGAGGTCTTTTCTTGTTGAAGTTTGTACTAAGATTTCATTTTACTTCCACATAGTGAAGTGATGTATTAAGAAAATAATAGAAAGTTTTGAGATGAAGCTTGGTAGCAAGTACGCAATCTTTTTAGTGGAGAGGGACTGCAAAAAATTCTCCTTTATTTTAAGACTCAAACAACCTTTGTGAGTCTCTACGGTGAGTTATCCTTTTAACAAATCTTCTTTTAAGATATTGTTTTTGGTTTCTTTTTATACCCACTTTTGTTTTAAAATCTTTTTTTTGGTATAACCGGGAAAAATAATCCCCCTCGAGTAGTAGAGCGTAAAGGTTTTTGGCTCTCCTAGCAAAGTGCGCTTCCCGGCGATTGAACTTGTGTTCTCACCCTTACGGGGATTGAGGTCACTTACCACCCCAACCAATACTGTTGCTTTTGTTTTAAAATCTTTATAGTTCAGATTTCTGAGCTATAGCCCACCATTATTGATCAAAGACCAACCCAAAAGGCTGAACTTAAAAGTCTATCCAACATTATTTTCTCTGCAAATTGGGGAACATGCAAATTTGTGGAAGTTTAAAATGTGAAATAATTTTTCATTTGACTAGTTCAAGTGTCTTCCATAGATTGCTTAAAAGTTCTGTCAATATTAGAATGCTTACTTCTTTTGCAGGCGGAGGCAACTGTGATTCACCAATGTACCCAGCTTTTATTACCAACTGGTGATCCCACTTATTACTTGACTTACATCAACCACAGTTTCCCACAGCATCGACAATATCTGTGTGCTGGTGCATGGATACTGATGCACGGACATCCTGAAGGCATTAATAATGAAAAACTGGTATGACTCTGCAATCTTTTAATTGCTTTATGAGGAATAATTATATTATGATTTCCTGCCTAAATTGGATGCATAGCCTGACTTGTTATAATTTGGAAATTCTGGCATTAAAGACTGTACAGAAGTGGGTCTGTGAGAGAGATCTCGAAGATGAAAAGATTCTTTGAACAAATCATTTAGTTATTTGCATGAGATATGCTTTTATTCCATTCCTTTTATTGGAGTTTAGATGGGAAACTATTGCAAGACTGCTTAGTTTTCAAGTTTCTAAATTTAAAATGTTTAAAAGTATAGGGTTCAGTTTACTCAGTAGTCATGGATATCTTCCAAGTTTAGCTTTATTTCTAGGACCATTTGTTATTTATTCACAGATTTATCTTGTTGAGGTACGTTATTCATTATCAAGCAACATATATTTTCTGCATTTGAGTTCAGGCACGTGCTTTGAGAGAATTCTCCCCTGAAGATGTGACAGCAAATATATATACCATGGTGGATGTTCTACTTCACCATATTCATGTGGAACTTCAGCATGGGCATTCTTTACAGGTTTGTCTAGTAATCTTTGTTTACTCTTTCAGATTCCATTTACTAAATGCAGAAATGCCTGCATATTTGTTCTGCATGTGCAAATTATTGATTCATAATTTATTTTTTACCCTTTACTTTCCAGGACCTTCTACTGAAGACCTGTGCAAACCTTGCATTTTTTGTGTGGACCCATGAGCTGCTTCCTTTGGATATTTTGCTTCTGGCTCTTACTGACCGTGATGATGATCCCCATGCTTTGCGTATTGTGGTATGGTTCTCTTACAATTTGACCTTTTTTTTTGCATTTGCATATTTGTTAAATTAATGATTATATTTGTAAGGATCCTCTTCCTTTTTTTCCCTCTTTTGATAAGGAAAGATTTCTGTTTATCAATGAAGGAAAAAAGGAGATCACAAACATGGGGAAAACCGATCATAATTTTAGTCGCATTTATATTTATTATCTTACGTTTTATACTTATTATGTTTTAGTCAATTGAAGAAATTTGATGATATAGAAACTTGACAAAACTCTGCCTTGATTTCTATGTAGTTAAGGTTGGATATGTAAATTAATTTTGTCCACTGTCATAGTTTAAGGCTACATTTTAATTAAGACGTGGATGTTATTGATGATGTTGATAAAAACCCTTCTGATTTTGACTTGCATTTTGAAGACTTGTGGCAACTAGGATTTTTGGTATTTGGGGAAAGGATCCTAGGTCTAGGTGGGGCCCAGGAGTAAAATTGTGCTTGTTTGAAATGGGTGACAGGATGACCTTTACAGTTACTAAATCAGGTTTCTGAGATTCCGGGATGAGTCACGACTTGGGTTCTCACTCAACAGGTTAATGGAGATTAGGGATTCATTAGAATTATGGAATTAAATTGCTTTTCCAGCTACATGGATAATTTTGTTTTATTGGACTATTGCTTAATCAGAAATTTTATTTCGTTTATTTCTCTGTTTGCATCTTTCAGAGGTGGATATCTTTAGGGCTGAGCAAACTGTTGGTTCGGTTCAAACCGAACCGAAACCACGAAATATAAAACCGAAGTTTCTTTACAATAAACTGAACCAGACCAAAGTTTGTATATGAACCAAACCAGTCGGTTCGGTCTATTTTTGTCGGTTTTTACCATTTCGGTTCAGTTATAAGCCCAACCGCCCAATATTTGTGTAACCGAATTGAACCGAGCAACAAATTCGGTTCAAACCAAACGAACTGACCAACCGAACCTCTCTTGGGCATCAGCCCAAACCGAAATGAGTCAGTTCAGTTTTCGGTTGGTATTTTGCTCACCCCTAGATATGTTGTTCTTTCAAGAGTAGTTTTCCTTTTTGCTTAGTTTTTTTTTTTTTTTTCCCGCTTTTTCTTATAGAAAATCATGTGACTATATATTGGTCTAAAATTTTTATTCTGGTTTTATTTGAACGAGCAAGGAAGTGTAAAAGCTTCAGCACTTTAAGTGATAGAAGAATATTACTGAAACAGAAAACAACAAACAAGAAAATATGGTGAGTAGAAACGAGTTAGAAAGGGAGAAATCTTTACTACATTCTATATGAGAATACAACTCAGATCTGACATGGAAAAGACTAATTGATCATAACTTTGAAACTGTCATATTTTCATCACTGGAGTTGGAAGATTAGAATCCTTAATGAATAATCTTGCATAGAATTGTTCCCAGTTATTAATTTAATTCCCATTTAGAAGGAACACCTCTCAAAATGTCTCTGGCATCACAAATTTACAAGTGATGATGCAAAGGTTATGATGTCTTCTGAAATTATCTAGATATTAAATTTTCATAATGTAACTTCCAGCTTATGCCAAATCCAAATTAAAACTGGCACATTCACCAAAATTAATGCACATCTTAATTTATCCAATAGCAAAGGTTCTTCAGGTCACTGGTGTTGGCCGCAATTTCTATCCATTAGAAAACTAGAAACATTGTGGGCCATAATCAATAAAAGGAATCAGTAGGACCCTTACACAATAGGCGAATTCCAAATCTAGGCTTTTATTCAAAGAAAAAACTCCCAAATCAAACATCTACCATAAAATGGTGTCCAATTGAAAATTCGTTTAGTTACTAATTGGGGAAACTAAATTTTGGCTTTGATGCTAACTTTCAGAACAAACTAGCTAAATTTCACACATGATCCAAAGTAGAATTGTTTGTTTATTTGCATTTAAGTGCTATTACACCTAGTAACAGCTAAAAACGTGGAAAAATAAATGGGTTTGGGGTTAGTGGATAAATATAAAAAAAAAAATTGATTGTTCTGAATATTACTTGATGTTGGAAATTTAACCCAATAGAACTCTATAGTTATTCAACTAATGTTTGTACCTCAAGCAAAGTGATTAAAAAAATTAAAGACAAAATCCATCAGAGAACCTTTGAATTAATGTCTAAATGATAAAAGAAGTTTTCTAGATGCAGAAATTTGAATTTTAATGAATGATTTGTAAAAATAACTGAAATGTTTTGGACAATGGTGAAAGTCTGAAATGCCTTAATATCTACGGAAACAGGATTAATTTTGTCGGGATATACAAGAAAACAAATAGAAATGTATTCAGACAATTATAATTAATGGCTAAGTTTGAGAAGATAAGCAGTTGATCTTCTTAACATGTCCCTAGATTTAAGGAAACCTTTTTGTTTTCAGTTTACGTTATGAGAAAAGACCTGATTAAAGTCAGCCTTAGGGCCACTTTCACTAAAATGTGACACAAGAAGAGGCTTCTTGTATACTTTATAGACACTCTATTGTAGTCTTCGATTTGTTCTATCACTTATCCTAATACTTCCATTCAAAATTAATGTTTTGAGTTGGTGGTTGTGCTTGTTCTGAAAGAATGTTATCATTATGCATGTTGCAGATCAGTTTACTTGATAGGCAAGAGCTTCAACAAAGAGTTAAAATGTTTATCATGAATCGTGGGCCTCCAGAGCATTGGCTTTTCTCCGGAACGTTCAAGCGTCTTGATTTGCAAAAGGCACTAGGCAATCATCTCTCATGGAAGGACAGGTCATATACTTTATTATCATGCATCAGGAATTGTATGGCTTCGTTTGTATGCTAATTATAGAACTTCTGTAGTATTTCACAACATCGCTGGTCAAATTGATGTGTGGTGTTCCGTGGAACTTCAGATCTAAAGAAAACCTGATGTTTAATATTGTGCATGTGCTATTTATGAGCTGTGCTTCAAGTAAGAAGGTCAATATTTTATCAAAAAAAAGAGGAAAAATAATAAATTGGTCCCTGATTTATAGTCAAATTAACACTTGAGGACCTCTTAAATTATGACTTTATTAATACTTTGGTCCCGCTGCCCAAAACAAAGGGACTAAAGTGTTGACGAAAACCATATGGTAAGGACCAAAGCGTTAACAGAAATTATAAGTTATGGATCTTATTGTTTGCTTGACTATAAGTTAAGGACCAATTTTTTAGTCAATTGCTGGTTAAAAGAGGTTTTTTGGATGGAAGGACCAACATGTTAACAGAATCATAAGTTAGGAACCTCATAGTTAATTTGACTATAACTTAGGTATTAATTTATTATTTTCCCCAAAAAAATTTCCGTGTGCATATTCCTCAGTGGACTTTTATTTAGTGCATTTGCTTAACTGAAGTAATGTTACTTTTGTAAAGAAGTCTAGATAACTGATTTTATGATGCAGGAGCAATCCTAGTCCTAATTGGATTCCTAGCACAACTAGGATTTTATTTAATTTACTGTTGTATTTCAGATTTGCATTAGTTTTCCGTTTCCTTATTTGATTAGGATTTACTATTTTATCATTGAATAGGAATAGAGTTTTAATTCTTTCTTTAATTAGGATTAGGATACATTTTATCATTGAATAGGAATTAGATGTTTTAATCTTTTCTTTAATTAGGATTCCTAGTCTAGTTAGGATTTATCACTATAAATAGCAGCACTAGTAGCATTTAAATCATCTTATTTTCCTCATAATTTTAATTTCAAAGGTTATAAACCTATTATTTACTGTTCCACCTACAATCAACCCTATTTCTAGGCTTACTTGTTAAAAATTGACAGCCCTACCATCCTTCCCCTGCATCAACTAGGTATCAGAGCACAAAAACAGATCCTAAGGCAGTCTTTTTTTTCTGAATTAAACCATGGTTGGAAGAGGCAGAGCGCAGAAGGCCAGAGGCAGAGGCAATCAGCCCCAACAGATTGAAAAGAACTGAGATGCGAGGCGACATGATTATGGGATTTGACCGCGGCTTGCTTACAAGCGTTGCCAGCGTCAGGAACCCGTGGAAGCCCGAATGGAGACTCCGGAAGGCAACCACAAAACCTTGATTTTTCAGAAGCATCTTGAGAGGTGAAAGAGGAAGTCGAGGACGTAAACCCCCTTTCATGAAGCTGCGACCTTTGCCAAAACCCAGCAGCACGAGGCCCAGACTGGGAAAGAGCGTTTACTTATGCTTTGATTTAAATAGTTGGAGGAGTGAGTTTAAAATTGAAGTCGCTGATTTTTATGGAAAATCGCCATATGCCGAAGACTATTTAAGATTGGGAAACTAGTTTAGAAAATTATTATTGAATCGCGAACCAATGGGTTGAAACCCGAAAAAGTGCTTTTTGTAAAGCTTAAATATTTTAAAGAGTATATTTTGAATGGAAACCAATGGTTGAAACTCGAAAAGTGCTTTTTGTAAAGCTTAAATTAAAGAGTACTGCACTTCAATGGTGGAAGAGAGTTGAGGAGCAGCGTGCACGACAAGGAAAGCTTAAAATCAGCAAGTGGGAGCACATGAAAACTAAGCTAAGGAAGGAATTTTTAGCAGCTGATTACGCTATGGAACTATATGAAAGGTTCCACTACTTGAAGAGTACACTGCAGAATTTAATAATTTGTCCATTCGAGTTGGAATATCTGAAAGTAATGAACAAATTACCTCTTGCTACCTTGCTGGTTTAAATCAGTCCCTTAGAGATGAAATGGGCATAGTTTGATTACACAATCTTGAAGATGCTCGCCAATATGCCTTAGCAGCTGAAAAGTGAGTTTCTTGTTACGGTGCTAGAAGGCCCATAAATAGAAGCAATTGGCAAAATAATTTCGGAGCTGCAAGAGAGATTCAAACAACTCAACGAAGCGGGAAAGAGGCTGCCGCTACTAATAAATACAATGAAGAGACAACCTGTGTTGATAGGAACGATAAAGGGAAAGGTATAGTACCTTATGGTGGACAAAACAATTTTGGTTCGTCTATAAGGAGAGGCAACAATTCTCAAGTTCGTTGTTTTACTTGTGGAGAAAAGGACATACTTTATTCATTTGTCAACAAAGTAGGGTGAATTCAGCCGAGTATGACGGAGACCTAGGCCCTTTTTTTGATGAATATGATGAGGAAGTAGAAGAAATTAATGTTCATCCAGCTCAAGGTGAGTCTTTAGTTGTTCGAACAGTCATGATAGCCATGAACAAAGAAGGAAAAGAAGATTGGAGGAGGCATAGCATTTTCTGTACATGTGTTATTTGTGAAGGCAAAGTGTTTATTTGTGAAGGCAAAAGTGTTTGTAATTTATTCTGGATGGGAGGAAGTATGGAAAATGAATATTCAAAGCGAGGGGACCGTCATAGAAAAATTAAAGCTTCCTCAACAAAACTCACTCATCCATATCAAAAAAATGTAGGTTGGTTGGAAGAAAGCGACATCTGAGATACCAGTAACAATCCAATGCTTAGTGCAATTCAACAATGGGAGATGGACTTTGGCAGATGAAGCACTATGTGATGTGATGTAGTACCAATGGATGTTGGGCATATTCTAGTGGGACGACCTTGGTTGTATGATCATGATATGGACCACAAGACAAGGCCTAATACTTATTCGTTCTATAAGGACAACAAGAAGTACACTTTTCATCCTCTCAAGGAAGAAACAAGGCAAACAGCAAATAAAGGAGCTGCAACTAGTAAATTAAATGGGCTTGTAAGTGTTAAAGAATTTGCAGCTGCGCCTAATGAGGTGGGAGTCACATATGCCTTAGTGAGCAAACTAATAGGAGCTTACCAGGTTGAAAAATCAGTTGAATATTCCTTTGAAATTCAACGATTATTGCAGGAATTCAAGGAGCTGATTAATGAAGATGTACCGAAAAGCTTGCCACCATTAAGAAGTATCCAACATGCTATTGATTTGGTACCAGGAGCAGCTTTACCAAATATGCCTGCATACCGAATGCCTCCTTTACAGCGGGCTGAAATAGAAAGACAGGTTAAGGAATTATTGGAAAAAGGTCTGGTGCGTGAAAGTAAAAGTAGTAAAAGTCCATGTACCTGCCCAGCCTTATTAACACCAAAGAAAGACGGTTCTTGGAGAATGTGTGTAGATAGTCGTGCTATAAACAAGATTATAATCAAATATCGCTTTCCAATAACAAGATTGGAGGATATGCTTGATTAACTAGCATGTTCTAAAGTGTTCTCCAAAATTGACTTGAAAAGTGGATATCACCAAATTAGAATGAGGCATGATGATGAATGGAAAATAGCTTTTAAGACACCGGATGGGTTATTTGAATGGTTAGTAATGCCATTTGGCCTTTCTAATGCACCAAACACATGCATGAGAGTCATGACAGATGTACTCAAACCTTTCTTGAATTCTTTCATTGTGGTATATTTCGATGACATTTTGATTTATAGCCGCATAGAGGAAGATCATTTAAAATACTTGCGACAAGTATTAGAAGTACTTCGTCAAGAGAAGCTGCACATAAAGCTAAAAAAATGCAGTTTCCTGCAACCAGAAGTGGTATTCCTGGGATACATTGTGTCCGCTGAAGGATTAAAACCAGATCCAGAAAAGGTTTGTGCAATTACCGAATGGCCAGCACCACAATCCATCAAAGAAGTTAGAAGCTTTCATGGTTTGGCCTCTTTCCATAGGAGATTTATCCAAAATTTCAGTTCAATTATGAGTCCTATAATTGCATATCTGAAAGAAGAAAAGTTTGAGTGGACAAATTCTGCACAAAAGGCATTTGAAAGAATCAAGTTTTTAATGACTAGAGCACTTGTTCTTGCACTTCCAGATTTTGAGAAATTATTTATTGTCAAATGTGATGCTTCACATGAAGGGATTTGAGCTGTTCTTAGCCAAGAGGGCAGACCTCTTGAGTTTTTTAGTGAAAAGTTATCTGAAGCTAAAAAGCGTTACTCAACTTATGATATAGAGTTCTATGCCTTGGTAAGAGCTATTCGACATTGGCAACATTACTTAGCTTATCGTGAGTTTATGGTTTTTTCTGATCATCAGGCCTTGAGGTATCTAAAATGCTTATCGTGAGTTTGTGGTTTTTTATGATCATCAGGCCTTGAGGTATCTAAAATCTCAGAATAAACTCAATAATCGACATGCTAAGTGGAGTTCTTTCCTTGATGAATTTAATTTCTCACTATTTTCTCACTAAAGTATAAATCCGGTCAATCTAATATTGTGGCTGATGCATTGAGTAGAAAATCCCTAATTGTTTGTCAATTTTGAAGCACTCAAATTACTGCGTTTTTGAAGAACTGAAAAACCAGTATGATCAAGATATATAGATTTGGCAAGATATAAGCTGATTTACTGCATTTTTCAGAAGCTGAAAGTTCTGCCATACGATTGCAAGTATGGTTATTTTATTCAAAGGGAATAAGCATGCATTCCTGAAGGATCTTTAAGAGGAACAAATCATTAGAGAACTTCATGGAAATGGTTTGGGAGGACACTCCTTCTGTAGAGACAAGACTTTTGCGATTGTTTCTGACCGTTATTATTGGCCAAAGATGGGAAAAAAGTGTGTGAAAAATTGGTGGAACGATGTCCAGCCTGTTACTCGGACAAGGGAAAGCACGCCAAAATACAGGATTATTATTACTCCTTTTACCGAGGCAATGCCACCTTGGGCTTCACTTGAGTATGGATTTTTGTTTTTGGGACTTCCAAAAGACAGCAAAGGGATTTGATTTCATATTTGTTTTGATGTGGATCGTTTCTCTTAAAATGGCTCATTTTATCCCATGTTTCAAGACTTTCTAATGCCAGTTTCATATTGCTGAGTTTATTTTTTCGAGAGATCGTGAGACTAATTGGTGTTTCCAAACTTCTATTGTTTCCGATAGAGATGTAAAGTTTATGGGGCACTTTTGAGGACTGTATGGAGAAGAAAAAAAAATTTTTTGGAAAAACTTTTTTTGAATTGAAAAAAAAAATATTCTAATTACTTGCCATCCGCCAAACAGGACGGTTCAGACGGAAGTTCGTCAACCGTTAGTTTGGGAAATCTACTTAAGATGTCTCGTTTGGGAGCAGCAATACCAAAGACATGGGATCTAGTTATTCCCCAAGATGGAATTCGCATTATAACAACTCAGTCAATCGAAAGTATTAAGAAGACTCCTTTTGAGGCTGCTTTATTGGACTTAAACCTCAGAATGTACTCGATTTTGGTGCCCTTTGCCCCCAAGAGGCTAGAGTAAGTGCTGAAGGGGAATTGTTTGCCCTGATCACATCAGGGAAAATTCAATACAGAAGTGAAAGCTGCCTTAAAAGACAGCAATTGCATTTCATATTGCCTATACAGCCAACCAGCATCGGCGCGTACAAGAATTTGAAGAAGGCGATTCAGGTTTCTCGTCCACTTAAGACAAGAACGTTTCTCTAAAGGAAACTTTATCCATAAGCCTGAAATCTAGAAGGGTTTGACCTTGTAAAGGTGTGAATAAGATTCAGTTCCAATGCCTATGTAATTTGATTCTTTCCATTTGATTTACAAATCAGCCCAATTTTTAATGTTTCAGACTTGTATCCTTTTCAGTATCCTTTTCATGGATTTGATGGAGTGCCATCCTCCATTGAAGCACAAGTACAAGAGCTGCCAATTGCAAAGGCTGATGTTATTGAGGAAGTGTTGGATGTCGAGGAAGCTCGTTCTAGGTGTGGCAACCAATATAGACGATTTTTAGTTAAGTGGTTTGGAAAACCAGCAAGTGAAAGTGCATGGATTTCTGAAGAAGAGCTAAAGCAAGTTGATCCAGCCATATATGCGGAATATATCAAGGCTTACTCGTCGGAGCCAAGTCTTTTTCAAACCCGGGGAGAATGATGCAGGAGCAATCCTAGTCCTAATTGGATTCCTAGCACAACTAGGATTTTATTTAATTTACTGTTTTACTGTTTTATTTAAATTTGCATTGTTTTTCCGTTTCCTTTATTTGGATTAGGATTTACTATTTTATCATTGAATAGGAATAGAGTTTTAATTCTTTCTTTAATTGGATTCCTAGTCTAGTAGGATTTATCACTATAAATTAGACAGCCACTAGGTAGCATTGTAAATCATCTTATTTTCCTCATAATTTTAATTCAAAAGGTTTATAAACCTAATTATTACTTGTTCCACCTACAATTCAACCCCTATTCTAGCTTACTGTTAAAAACTGACAGCCCTACGTCTTCCCCCTGCGTCATTTTAGCTTCATTACTCATAATTTTAATTCAAAGGTTATAAACCTAATTATTTACTGTTCCACCTACAATCAACCCTATTCTAGCTTACTTGTTAAAAACTGACAGCCCTACGTCTTCCCCCTGCGTCATTTTAGCTTCATTAACACTGTTTTTATAAGCTCCGCAGGTATCCCACATTTTTTGATGATATTGCAGCCCGTTTGCTTCCAGTCATCCCCTTAATTGTTTATAGACTTATTGAAAATGATGCCATGGACCATGCTGATAGAGTTCTGGCTGTGTATTCTCAATTTTTAGCATATCACCCCTTAAGATTCACATTTGTCCGTGATATACTTGCATACTTTTATGGCCATCTTCCTGGAAAACTCATTGTGCGGATACTAAATGTGCTTGATTTAAACAAGGTATTTATATCTTCTCATTCCTGTTCTGGATCTTTTTGTTTCTTTCTTTCTCTTCTTGAAATACTAATTTTCTCATTCCTGCTTATATTTTTGTTCATTATAAATTCTTTTCAGATCCCATTTTCAGAGTCATTCCCTCAGCACATTAGTTCATCAAACCCTGTTATGTGCCCACCTCCCGAGTATTTTGCTACTTTGTTGCTGGGACTTGTGAATAACGTGTTACCACCATTAAATACCAACTCAAAGTATGGTGCAGTTGGAGATGGTTTATGTAATTCAGTGCGCAATCCAAATACCAAGACTCCAGCAACATCTCAGTCAGGGGCAACAAATGCTTCTGAGGGGCAGAAAGCATTTTATCAAATTCAGGATCCCGGAACTTATACTCAACTGGTTCTTGAAACAGCAGTAATTGAACTGCTATCGCTTCCAGTGACACCATCCCAAATTGTGTCGTCTCTGGTCCAAATTGTAGTTAATATTCAACCAACTCTAGTGCAATCCAGCAATGGTCTGCATGGAGCTTCAAATAGTGTTGGGCAAGGATCAGTTTTACCAACATCCCCTTCTGGGGGGAGTACGGATTCCATAGGTGCAAGTAGATCAACTCCTTCAGCTTCAGGAATTAATACTGCTAATTTTGTTTCCCGGAGTGGTTATACATGCCAGCAACTATCTTGCTTATTCATCCAAGCTTGTGGTCTTCTACTGGCTCAGCTTCCTCCAGATTTCCACATGCAACTTTATATGGAGGCATCACGTATAATAAAAGAGAGTTGGTGGCTCACTGATGGCAAAAGATCACTCGGGGAACTGGACTCTGCTGTTGGCTATGCCTTATTGGACCCTACATGGGCTGCTCAGGACAATACCTCAACAGCCATTGGTATGCCATTGCATGCATAATTCCATTTATTTTTGTTGTTTTTGTACTGCTGCAGCTATTTACAGTTATGTTATTCTGGCACACATTGGGTAGTTTCACATGTGCTGCAGCTGATGTAGTAATAGCATTTAAAACATCTTGCACAACATTGTGAAGATTCCTTTATGACAATGTGTTATTTTATCCCTTCTTCTAGTACTTGTTCTTTTCCTGGGACTCCAGTCTCCTTGGATATGATTAATGGTTGTGCAAATAATGGATGTTAAAATTAGGAAATTCAATTTGTATTTTACTGTCATCTTAATCCAATGGCAAGTCAAGAGCATGCTCCTTTCTCCTCACATTGAGGGTGGGGTGCGCTTAGATGCTGCAGGAGGGGATTAATAATTTCACAGCCATACATCTTCATTGACTGTTTCCAATTTTATTCGTCTTCCACAGTTTTCTATTAGTTGCCCCAACATATCTCATCTTTATTTACACTCGCATTCTCCTTCTAGCTAAGTTCGTCTTCATTTTCGTTGTTTGATTCACTACTTGTATTTGTAAGATTATTTATTCCTGATGTGCGAATGTTGTTGCCAGGTAATATTGTTGCCCTGCTACATTCTTTCTTCAGTAACCTCCCACAGGAATGGCTAGAAGGGACACATGTAATTATTAAACATCTTAAACCAATAACGTCGGTTGCAATGTTGAGGATAGCATTCCGTATAATGGGTCCGCTTCTTCCACGACTTGCCAATGCTCACTCTCTCTTCAGTAAGGTACAAAGAAAATTCTCGCTGGTTTCTATGTAGACAATTCTCGCTGGTTTCTATGTAGAAAATTCTTGCTGGTTTCTATGTTCCCCTTCAAATGGTTACTGGGTTGTGGGTGATGTTTGGACTGCAACACCACAACTATTTATTTTTGTATTGTTGATGCATTAAGGAAAGACAAATACATGAGCGATGAGTCATTTTCTCTCGTTTATGATTCAAAATTTATTTCTGAAACCTTTCTGTCCATTATTTTCCCAAAATTATTTTGGAGCATTATGTGACTTTCTGTTTAGGTTTAACCCTTTTACGGAGTTAATTTATTTGAGTTCATTTATAATCTTCAAAATTGAATTTATAATAGTAAACTGAATATTTTTCTTGGTGCTTTGAAATATGATTTAGAAATGTGAGAATGCAAACTAAAATTCTTGGTTTTTCGTTTCACCTTGAAGACCTAGATATGTATGCATTGTTATTTTGCATGTGCATCTTGAATCCTTTCTGATTGTCAATTTCCTAATAACTGCAGTTTCTCAGACATGCTTTTGGAATTTCCTTCCTTTTTTTATTTTAAGATGGTTGTGCTTATTTATTTTCCCATCTTTCAGACCCTATCATTGCTTTTAAACACAATGGCTGAGGTATTTGGGAGGAATTCACAGCCATCTACTCCTGTTGAAGCTTCAGAAATAACAGATCTTATCGACTTCCTGTAAGTTTTATTTTGCTATCCTTTTAGCTGAATGTGGGTTAAAATTCTATGTATAATAGTTGCTTCAAAGTGCTGACATTCAAATAAACATTGCGTCTCAGCCATCACGTTATCCATTATGAAGGGCAGGGAGGTCCTGTTCAGGCTAATAGTAAGCCTAGACCAGAGGTCTTAGCTCTTTGTGGGAGAGCAGCAGAAAATCTCCGTCCAGATATACAACATCTTCTTTCTCACCTGAAACCCGACACGAACTCTTCCATTTATGCTGCTACGCATCCAAAGCTGGTCCAGAATCCCTCATGATCGGTTAACATTTCTTACAGTCTTGTATTGAGATAGAAATGCTCTTTGAGCTTTTAGCATAGACACTACATGATTGGAAAAGCTTCAAACCATAAATTATTTTGCATTGATGTGCCGAAAAGAGCCATTGAAAGGATTGAAGCTTGTTACACTGCTTGCGGCTTTAACAGCGAGGGAAATGAATTTTGCTATGGAGGTGTTAATATGCCTGCATCTCATCCCTGTTGCAGCTGGAAGGTTTACACTAGCACACTTAGTATGTATAATATTGTTCGAATTTAAAAGTATGATTATCACCTTTTTTTAATTTTTTTTTTATTTTATATTTATCTTTCTTAGTTTTCTCTTTCTAAGGAAGGCTTTTATGTTTGAGTATTTGTAAATATAATGTTTTACATATAATGAGATTATTGAATTATAAGAATACTGATCGTAGTTGCTGTGCCGCGTCATTTCTTTCTCAATTCCAACTGCTGTTATATTTTAGAAGATATGGTGAATGGAAACAAACACCTATTGATTGTTGTTGCATATAATTTATAGATTTGATATGTTACCATGTCAAACGACTCGAGTTCTCTTTGTTTCCTAAGGGAAATTGTTTTTTTATTTTTTATTTTTTTCTAAAAATCTATCAAGAAATTACATAAATGAATTCACTTTATTCATGTCTTTATATAAAATAAATTATAGTATCAACTGGATGTGGTTCAGTGGTTTTTTTCACTAATGAGAAGCAAATTTCGAGTTTGAGTTTTTTCGATCATAAAAGTAAAAAAAATCGTAGCCAAGGGATGATGGTTGAAATTAATCCAATAAGGTCTATTTTATGTATTTTAGTTATGCAAAACTTATTTAATATTCCAAGTAAATATCCTAATTATTCCTAAAAAAATTATTTTGAGGAATTTCCTAAAAAAAAAAAATGTAAACATCCTAATTAATAGTGGTTCTTCTATGTCCATGTATACATTTAGTCATTGCATTTTATTCCATCCACAGAACAGCCAAGCCAGAGTCTTGTCCATGAAAAAGCCTGACCACAAAAATACAGGAGAAGCAGGCAAGAAAAAACTCAAAAAGAAGTGGACCAATGACACTAATTTGTTGTACAGTGTACTCATGTACTGGCCATGTATAAAGCTTAGAAAATGACCCAATAGCAGCAGTAGATCATAGGATAGGCTTGGAGAAAATAAATCACCACCAATTACCAAACGACCCAATTTTTGTTTTAATAAAAAAAATAACAAAATATAAGAAAGAACAAAAACCCTAATTTTTAAAAAAAAAAAATTTCAGAATTATAACGGTATTGTTTCATAAGTACTCTTTTACCCTGATCTCTTAACATGAGCTCAAACATATTTTCCACTTAAAGAAAATTCCTAGATTTTGATGGGTTGTTATTTTGACAAAAATATATTGCAGAGATGGAAATGGAAGTGGTACCAAGTATTAGATGTAGCCTACCCAAAACGAACAGAGGAGTAATTAAAAACGCGTGTGATGTTGACCACCTGTCCACTTTGACATCGATCTTTCATAAAACGCTTTTTTTTTTTAATAATAAAATAGTTTTTCTTTTTTCTTAATTACGAAAAATAAGAAATAAATGCAAAGATAGATAGATAGATAGTTCATAAGTGGATGATATGAAGAAAAATAAAATAAAAATCCAGATAAATTAATAGTAGCCACTGAGCTTTAGAGAGGACAGCCACTCATTTTTCATTTCTCATTTTATTTTGTTTTGTTTTATTCACTTTAATAAAATATTCACTGTGAGCACGTGATTTTTGTGGATTAAAATTGGAAACCAATAACTCTTTGAGATACTTCCTGTCTGCCATTCTCTCTCTAGTATTTTCTTTACTTTTGTATTTTTCTTTCTTACCTTCTTTTTCCTTTTCCTTTTTATTAACCGGTTTAATGGGTTCATTACAAAAATAATAAAATAATAATTTAAATCAACTATTAACCTTTTTTTATAATTGAAATAGATTAATTATTTTCTTAATTATTGCACAATTTTTTTTAACGAAAAGATCAATAAAATTTGATTTATAATTTTATTTGAATAATTAATTATTTGCGATTAAAACGCTGATTTCCTTTAAAAAAATATTATTTTCTCATGCACCTTTCTACACAGGCAATTAATTAATCAATATTATAAATGCTATGTCAATTCACTATCACAATATTGCATGAAAAATATAAGCTTTCGTCTTTAATATTTTATAGAGATAATTAAATATGTTATGAGTAGAATACTAAATAAATAAAAATAGATCAATAAAAAAAAATTAATGGAATCTTGAAAGCATAAAAATAACACTTATTTTAAAAATGAGGGAGTAATATGTAATTGAACTCAAGATTTATGTTTTAAAAATATCTACGCAACTCGTGTCAACTGTGTGAAAGGTTAAACTCACTAAAAATGCAATCATTTACTCTTGAAAATTGAAGAACAGAAGTCTTCACTTCAAATAATACATCATAATTTCTTTTTTTTTTTTCTCATAATTGATTTTTTATTTTGGTTTAATGTGATTATGTATTAAGGACTAATAATTTGAAAAGGAAGGAATTTAGAGTTGGAAAAATACAAACCAAAGAATTGAAGGCATAAAATGCTATAAAGAGTTAAGAGCTTGAAATAATAGCTCCTCCTATAACTTTTGGGAAAAAAAATTTAACAAATCAAATAATACGAAAAATGGTGTGACGGACAGCTCACCTTTTAGTCTTAATGTGGACGGTGAGCTTTTGCCTCAGCAAGCCAAAACATTAATGGGTTACATAATGCTGAAACAGTCCCCAAATAGCAAGCAGATAGGAAAACAACAATATACACAATGAGATGGAGATGCTATGCTTGGTATTAATCTGGTATTTATTTCCACAATGTAACAAATGTTACAAAGCTACAAAATGTACTTAGTATATATCTTCTCCGAATACATTAATCGAAAGGGAAATGGAAGGGAAAAAATAGGGAAAACCCTACACCAACCCTATATATATATGTTTGAGTTTTGAAATCAAACAAAAGGATTACAGTTATTCTAGTAAAAAACTAAAATAAATGGGCTTACATCTTTAATTTACTACATAAATTGCAATGATTCCCTTCTAAGTTGGCTTCATTTGTTGCGGTTGCTCTCCTTGCTTGCCGAGAGAACCAGTTCCTACTGCAGAGGTTGCAGAGGTATTCAGTCCACTGGATTCTGGGTGATTGATTCAGGAGACTTCTTGCATAGGCTGTATGGTGCTGCACTCATCACCCTGCAGGCACAAATCGTAAAATCAAATATTGTCCTCATTGAACTGATTATCATTCAGGTTTCAAACTAGTAGAATTATAATTTGTGAATAAGCATCCCTCCATCCAAGTCAGGCCTTGGATAATCACGACTTATAGGTGACATCTATATGCAGAAACATAAGTAATATTCTTTATGAGTATCTCCTGGTCTAATTTCTTTTGTCGCCATTTTCTTTCCTTTCATGGTACATTTTTTTCCAGAACTTACAGGCAGATTTCAACAACCACTCGTGCATAGCTCAACCAGAATTGCACCACAACAAAACCTGAAGCCACTGCTTAACAAGTTTTTCCAACTCCAGGTCACAAACATCTTTCAAACTATTTATCATATTGTCAATCCCGACTGATTCGAGATTAATGTTTAATTGAGCTGATCTATAGCTAAAGAAGTACAGAATTTATGAGTTGCAACACATTTCCCCTGAATAATTTTTAAACAGATTTTAAGGAACATTCATAATCAAATAACAACAAATATCATTTTTTCTTGGGTTCATTAGACTTACCTCTCCTTGCGCTTCTCCAAAAACCGAGCTAAGGACGCCTTTCGAGCTTGGGGCACTGCTGCACAAGAAATTAGATATCACTTATACATGGCAAATATAGTAATCTAATCCAAAATTGGATATCAATGAATGAGCAGCATTCATCAGGTGTCCTCCAAAATTGGAAACCTTTTCGTGGCAAATAAATAATGAAAAACCACGCTTCAAGCATACTAGTACATACCAGATGGTATCATGGTTGTTGCAGCAACAGATCCCATTGTGCTTGCAATTCTTGGAGACTCCAGTTTACTAACAGGAGTTGTAGTTCCGGTGCTTTTAGCTGTCAAGATCTCCTCAGTACTAGTAGAGCCACTCCCCGATTGAGCACCAGTATGTGAAGAAACAGATAAAGGGCTGGACAGACAGGAACAGGGTGGTGTAGTTACAGGTTGGCTCACAGGACTAATATCAGTTGCTATTGGCTTTGAGCTTGGTGCCTGGACTTGAATTTTTGGCTGTGCCATGTTGGAGGAGATGGAAGAGCCATTTCCAGCCAAGAACAAGATAGCCTGAGCCTGGATAAAATTTGCAGAAGTAATTTTAAGATTTCCACATCTCTAGTGGAGAATGAATGACCAGAACAACTATTACGAGTAAAGATAAAGAAAGACACCTTCTCAGGCGATATATCATCATACACATTCACTGTGCCAGCATAAAAGATGGTCAGCTGAGCAGGAGATCCAGAGGATTTGGCACTGTTTGTAAAACATATTTCAGTTAAATATTTTGTTCATGCTCAATCATACAAGTATTATGTTCATATTCAGCAAAAATTATAAATTACCACGAATCCATCATCCCAGTAACAGAACCAATAGTTGGAATAATTGTTTGTGGGGTTGTGACAGGAATTCCTCCAAGTAATTGTGGCTTTGTGGTATTACCAACCATATTCTGACTGGAAGTTGCATAATAATTTTTGAAGAAAGGGTTCGCCATAGAAATCAAACTTCCATGGTTGGACACTGGAAACATCTTCACATCGAGAGGATGATGAACAGAATGCACCTCATGTTGCGCAGGATAAGCAGTCAATGTAAAATGACTCCCACCTTGCCTGTCATGATTGAATGATTTCTACATGGTAAAAACCAATACAAGAAATAAAAATGTCAGATTACACCATTAAAAAGTGGGGTTTGATGCTATATCACACAATATTATGGCAAAGTAAAAACATCACGGGAACAATTATCCAGTTAATCTTGAATGGCAAATGGAAACAGAAAATTCAAACCTCTAGAATTTTCAACTTAGAATAATATGAAAATTTGTTCACAGAAAGTGAAATAAAGTTGTTATTTCTACAAAACTCATCAAAAAATGTTGAACGGAAATAAAGATAAAAAATAAGAAAATTATATAATACCTGGATTTCAGGCATAAACTGTCTTTGGCTAGGGTCAGATGCATCTGCAGTTGAGATGGACAAGAATCCGGGGGACGCTAAGGAGTCAGATACAATCCTTTTAGTCTTGTCTTCTAAAGCAACCTTGAAAGAATTCAAATGAGGAAGAGCAGACACCTTGTTGGAGAAGGGCCAGTGTATACCTGAACCTTTACTAAATCCTACATATTCCAACAAAAGAATGAACAATGCTCATAAGCTTCTAGTTTAAAACAAATCAAGAAAATAATGTAAACCCAATTTCTCTTGCACTTATTGACTATTAATCAACTATACTATACATCCACAAATACAAGCAATCATATCACTGAAAAATAAAGTTATTCACGTAGTTTATGAGAATAAATCCAAACAGACATTAAAGTTATGCAAAAATATTAACAGAAGAAAAAAAAAGAAAGGAATACTATTAGATAGACAGTGAGATTTAACTCAACCAAGCCACAATTGGCTTTATCCAGTCAGTGAAAACAGCCACTTCCAAATTAAACACAAAAATTCTTCATACCAAATCAAATAGGTAGTTGTTTAAAGTTAGCAAACAGTTCTTCATCTTCATCTTCTTCTTCTTTCTTTTTTCTTTTTCATCGTTCAATTCATATATCGCTATTTCACCAGTTTTGCGCATAAAATCGACAAGAAAAATTCAAACTTCAACTCAACCAATATTCCCAAAGCAAAGATATAAAATTTTCCATATTAAAACAACTGATAATTTTCTTTAATTGAATGAATTAAATAACTATATTAAGAAAAATTAATAGAAGATTAAAAAATCCGAAATAAAAATTACCTATCTCTTTGTACGCATCAGAGTTAACCTCTTCCTTAACAACAGCTAGTGGTTCTTTCGAATTCAAACCCAAAAAATCTCTCTCCATTTCACCTCCCCTATCTCTAAAACACAAAATTCAAAAGAATATCCTTCAAAAACGATAAATTCACAGATCAATTGCTTCGCTTCTCCACCAAACCTGAGTTTAAAGAGAGAAACTAGAAAGAGAGAGACCAAAACGAAAGCTTCTAACTACAGCAAAAGGCAGAGAGCGAGAGAAAGAGAGAGAGTAAGAGAGAGTTTTGGCACAAGAGGAGGGGGGGCTTATAAGATCTTGACCGTTAATATTTTGAAAAAGGAAAATTAGATTTTTATAAAAAAATGAAAAACCAGGTATGTGTTACCGGTTTATCCAGTTCGGCGACAGGTTTAGCCGGTAACCCACCACGTGCGCGAGCGTATTATTCACATTTTCACACTTCACTAGCAAGTTGCTGCTCGTCCGTCACACTTGTCGGTAGTAACATACCACGTGTACTATTCTTCCACAAAGCACGTAACACGTTTTTTTTTCTCACGTGCAGAGTTTCGCTCGTGAGTTCATATAAATTAATAGTCTCTCCCTTATTAATTACACAATTGACAGCCTGTCACGAGAAATTTGTGAGAAGCAAAAATTGACTTATATTTTTTTTTGCATTTTCCTTTATTTTATCTTAAATTATTACTACAACTAATTTTTTATTCAGAAAATTATCAGAATTAATTTAATATTATAAAATAATACAAAATTTATAATTTTTTATAATATCATATTTTATAATTTATACTATTAGAAATATTAATATTTATTATATAAAATTTAAATTAGAAATATAAATTTATGATTGTAACAGTACGATAATCGATCATGGATACAGTATTTAGATTTAAAAAATATAAATATACGCTTAAACTTTTTACAATATTTTGAAAGATTAAATATACTATCTGTATAAAAAATGTCGCATATTTTCTTTATATAAAACAAACTGTTGAATTCTTGACGGGATCGGTGGTCCCTATCACCCATGTTTGTGTGTGGTGGTCCTTATCAATATTTTTTTTTTTTTTTTTAAAATCAATAATCAGGAATACACTAAGTTTATATCGGTTTTCAAACACGACCTCTTGAACATGTTTCAAACACGAATTTCCTTTGTTAGTTAGACTTTTATTTTATTTAATTTCAAACGCTTTAAATATATCTCTACAAACATTTGAAAAACACCTTGGAGAACATTTTTTTATTAAATAATTAAACGGTTTAATTCTTTTGAGCCGTGGAGAGTAAAATTTTTTAGCTTCTCAGCAAACCATGTGTTTTTCGAATATCGAACTTTTTAAATTCTTACCTTTGAAGTTGAGGTTGTTTTCTTACTCCAATCAACACATTGTAGGATTAATTTTAATCTTTTTTAAATTATTGGGCATTTTAAACAATATCCATTTGTTAAACATACCCCTCTGATTTCAAATCTAATCTAAACATACTAAAGCATCAATTTTTTTAACCATTCTAAGCAAGCTAAACATACTATAAATTTTCCAAATAATGATATAACTTTGAAGCCAATTTACTAATTATGTTTAAAATTATAACAATTAAGTATGTTTTATTTTATATTTATAAATTATTATAAATGATTATTATTTATTTGATTAAATTAACAAATTATATATAGTGCGGTCCATAAGCATATTATATATATATATTATCATATATCTTATTTTTAAAAAAACTATAGTGTCAATGTTTTTGCGTCGTATTATATCTCCGTGTTACATGTCTTTACCATCTAAAAAATATATCTACAAAAGTTAAATTTGAGTAAAAAATGACTCAATCCATTAAATAATAAGCACGAAGTTTAATTCTAAGTGATCGGGGAAATAAGAGTAAAACTATGGTACAAACTATTAAATTATGTATCGATAACGAACTATTTGCCAATCAATTAAATTCCAATGTTTTAAACTTATGCAATTAATACTGAGACAACTCACACAACTGGTTAGCCGTAAATCTATAAATTAAATTATTATATCTAGTTTGATAAAAAAAAAAACCTCTTTTTTATTCATTTTAAAAAACGTTATTCTTTTTTAAAATTAGTACTTTCATTTTCTCCTTTTTTTTATGGAAAAGAATAAATATTATTAAATTAATCATCAATACACATCTAATTCTGCTTTAAATGTATACTTTTGATTTCCAATCTTTTTTTTTCATTGAATAAAATAAAAATAAACTATATTCATTAACTTGTATATAAATTCAGGTCTCATATTCTTAATTATTTTTTATTTTTATTGATATTTTTAAATCTAGGTTTTCACCTGGTCATTCTCTTATTTATTTAGCAACTCGTTTTAATGTAATTTTTAAAAAAATTTTTACAGTTCAAATACTTGTATCAAGATTTTTCTCACTTATTAATTTTTTTAAAAAATAATTTGGTCATCTTAAACCATTGTAATTATTTTTAATAATTAAAGGGCAGAAATTCATAAAATTAAAATATTATACTTTAGTTTTTATAATGTATTATCTAATGTGCAACTCCCATTAATTTAATGTATAATATTCATATTATTTTTTTTTACATTTACTCTCTAGCTAAATTAACCAAAAAAATAAATATGGCCTCGTAGTCCAAACCATATAAATATAAAATTTGTATCTATCAATTTTAATGGTTAAAAAATATAAAAAATTTCAATTATTTAGAGTTAAAAATATTGACAAAGTAACCTATTATAATAGGGTAATTTTATACTGCATATAAATTCAGAGAATTCTGTATTAATACATAATTTTATTTTTTCTTTTACATCAGTAAGCGCCTTAGAGAGAATATATGCCTGAAGACTTCTCTTCCTTATGGCCTAACATGATACATAACAGGATTAGGCCTTGTACAGTGAGACGCTTTTCCCTTCCAGGTTTAAAATTTTTAAAGGGAAAACGCTTTTTTTTTTTTTTTTTTTTTTTGCGGCTAAAAATTTAGAATTTGAAAAGAAAAGCAATTCGTTTTAACGGCGTAATATGAGAACGGCAAGCAAATCATTGTCGTATTGAAGATTCTTAAATTGCCAAAATGAGCAAGTTGTCTGGCCAATACAAGCGTGGTGGGCACAGAATTTCTAGCATAAACCAAATTATACATAATTGGACCAGCTGAGGTGGAAAAAAAAAAGGAATCTTAAATAAGTATCTAAAAAAAAAAACAGACATATGTTTTTCAATTTTATTAAGTAAAAAATTCATCCCTAATATCACTTTCTACAATAAAAATAAAAATGGATCAATGATGTGGTTAATGCAAATTGAAAAAAATAAAAAAAGCCATAAAGGAATCTTTGAACTTCATAAATAATTATTAGCAATCATTCATGCACATTGAATTCAAATGGTTGGATTAGTTGCTTTTTAATTTGTAAGAATTCATAATGCCACCTAAATTCAAACTTTTTATTTATTTTTAATTCCTTTCTTATCTTATTTTTTTATTACTTCTTAAAATTAAATTAAGTACTCCCCTTTCACGCCAATGTGATATTCAAATAACGATTTTTAAATTCACTTACAAATATCACCATGCTCGCAAAAAGATAAATCCTATATTTTTTTTTTGTTTTATTCCAAAATATTATTCACTTTATTTTTTTATTATAGTTAATCTTAAATTGTCTACTATATCCCGTTTATTAAATTTTATCTTATTTTCCAATAAACCCTTATTAATTCTTTACTCATTATTTCAATACTATCTCCATTCCATAATATTTAATCGCTTTGAGCAAATACAAGTTGTCACGATTTTGTGGTTTTAAGTGGCAATAAATTATTTTTTTTCACTATTTACCCCTTTCTATACGAACAATAATTTTACTGTCAAATTTAATTATTTTATTAGATGGAATTACTCCTCGTTCCAAAATATACACTCGTTTTTGAGTGATTATTTTTTGTCCAAAAAATATAGTTCTTTTGAGTATCTTCAAAGAGTAATAAATGATGTTTTTAACGTCACCATTATCTACCACTAGACATAAATAAATACTTCTACAAGTAACTAATGATTTTAAGATAATTTGTCAAATTCATCCCTTAGTTTTGTTTATAATGTAGGAGAGTTAATTGCTTCTTTAATCTTGTGTAAAAACCTTAAACGACTATATTTTTAGAACAGAGGGAGTAATATTAAATTTAAATATAATATTAGTCAATTTACTTTAATAATTTATTATAACTAAAAACAAATTTAATAATGTTTTTTTTGAAAACTGAAATTCCTAAATGTGATAGTATTATAGAATAGAAATAATATAATAATTGGCTCGTGTTATTTAAGATGTGCATAATAAGAAAATTTTATATAAATAAAATTATTATTTTTAATCATAATAAATGTTATTTTTAATTTTTATGAAAATAGAAAAGTAGACTATCTTTTTGGGACAGAAGGAATAAAACTTTTAAGAGGACTCCTAAAAGGGCTATAATAAGAGAATATTCATTGATTGTGGTTAAGAGAGAACATGTTCTAATAAAAGAATGGTGATTTACGTTTCAATTAAGACGTTTTTAATATGATCCAATTCGATTCAAAATTGAAACCGGTGGCAGGTCTAGACAAAAGCTCTGCCTAGAGGAAAACTCAGCATACGGTTTTTTAATTGAATGAAAAATGAATGAAAGAAGGAACGGGGTAGGGTAGCCAACGTGGCCCTGTGCAAATGGTTTTCTTAATGTAATACTAATATTATAATTTCTTTCTTTCTGCAGAATTAATTTATTTATTCTCACCATAAAACTTCCGTTGATGAATAAATCATTGGATAAATATATTTTTTTTATAAAAAAATTCATTGTTTCGTCGCATTCAGAGTCCTGTTGAACCGGATACAAAAGACTACTCTCAAGTTCCCAACTGCCTAAGCAACATATATATTATTTCTACAATTAAAAAAAAAAATTGTATATGACAAAAGAAGATAATTAAGCTATAAAATACCAAAACGATGGGCATGTGTATAAATGAATGGTGAATGGGAATTAATTATTCTGTGAATTGGTAAATACTATAATATTTAATTAATTAATTAATTAAATTTACTTCATTTAATATACTATATATCATTGGCATGAAATATTTATGAATTCTCATTAAATAATAAAAAATTGGCAAAATTAAATGGTGAGGATATGGAGATTAAAGTTTTATAACGGGCATCACAATTCAAATATTTCTAATTTAATATGAATAACTAAATTCAAAATTCTAAATACATAATTTTCCACTTATTATAAGAATAATCATTTTTACTTAAATTTTGATTG